CATGAAGAGGATGATGTGGACAAAATACTCATTTGCCTAATAATTCTGCACTCCCTGTATAAAGCAGACATTTTCCTTAAACATACTCATGAAATCATTCTCTCTCTGTGTGTTTGTACAGTTGCTCCTGAGGCAGAACTGAGTGCAGAGCTGAAGGATGCCCTGGAGCTACGTGCTGGTGCCACCATGAGACTGCATGCCACCATCAAGGGTCGTCCCACTCCCAAGATAACTTGGGCAAAGATGAACACTAACATTAAAGACCGTCAGGGCATCATCATCAAATCCACCCATGTTGACACCATGGTGATGGTGGAGAAAGTGAACAGATATGATGCTGGCAAATACATTCTGAGCTTGGACAGCTTAGCTGGCATGAAGATGTATACCATCGTTGTCAAAGTTTTTGGTCAGTACAGGAAGTTATTTCACTAAACAAATGCATTAATATTTTGCAGTGACTATAGTCAAGTCAGATTGATATTAGTCACTAATGGTTAGTCTTAGTTTCTTGATTAGTTCAATTTTACAAAAAAACAAAAACATTAGTATGAAGTGTTGTTTTATCTTTCCAGACACTCCTGGACCACCAGTTAATCTAATGGTGAAGGATACATGTAAGGATAGTGCCTCCATCTACTGGGATGCTCCTCTGATTGACGGTGGCTTTGAAATTACCCACTACATAGTACAGAAGCGTGACACTGAGAGGAAGGCTTGGTCTACCGTTTCCACCAACTGCAATAAGACATCATTCAAGGTTCCAGACCTAGATGCTGGGCGGTCCTACTGCTTCAGAGTGGCAGCAGTTAACCAGCTGGGTACTGGAGAGTTCTGTGAGACTGATGATTCAGTCAGAGCAACAGGTGGGTTGGATCATAACAGGTTATGTACTTGGATTTTGTTTCTCCAACTGTCATACTAATTACATTTAATTTTACAGAGGAGCCTGGGCCTGTCATGGACTTCAAGACCCTGCTGGTTACCAAGGATTCTTGCACTTTAAGCTGGAAGAAACCCCTCACTGATGGTGGTAGTCGCATCATCTGTTATGTACTTGAGGTTCTCAATGGTGAGGATAAATACAAGGAGCTAATGAGGTCTAAGAATATGCAGTATAGTGCCAAGGACCTGGTGGAGGATAGAGAGTATACCTACAGAGTCAAAGCTGTGAATGACACAGGAGAGAGTGCTCCCAAGGAGCTGAAAGTGGTTGCCAAGGACCAGCTCAGTAAGTATCCCCTTTTATGAAACATTCAGACAAATAACTTAATAAGTAAGCACATAAAATCTTTAAATATGGATATATTAAGTAGTTGTTCCTTTCCTATAAAGTTCTTCCCAGTTGTGACTTGAGGGAGTTGCCCAACATGTGCTACATTGCCAAGGAAGGCAGTACCGTCCGCCTGAAGATCCCAATTATTGGCAAGCCTACACCCAAGGTAACCTGGAAGAAGGGAGATGATGAAGACCTGACAGACACTGGCCGAGTGTGTGCCGAGTCCTCAGCAGTTAACACCACCCTCCTCATCAGGGACTGCCAAAGGACTGATGCTTCCAAATACACCATCACCCTGAGAAACAGTGCTGGAAGCAAAGAGTCCACCATCTTTGTCAGGTAAGGATCATGTAATGGAATTTAAAGGGTATTTTCCTCAAAATGAATTTCACCATATCCATACAACAGTGTCTACACATAAAAAATTTCAAAATGATCCTTTTTCTTTATTAGGGTGGTGGGTAAACCTGGCATTCCTGGAGGACCAGTAAAGTTCAAAGATGTTGCTGCTGATGGTGCCACACTAAAGTGGGGTCCTCCCAAGGATGATGGTGGCTCTGAAATTACCAACTATATCCTGGAAAAGAGGGACTCCATCACAAACATGTGGGTGACTGTGTCCTCTGTTGTGGAGACCAACACCATGAGAGTAACTGGTCTTCATGAGGGCACAGAATACATCTTCAGAGTATGTGCCGAGAACAAGTATGGGGTCGGCGAAGGACTCAAATCTGAGCCGATTGTAGCCAAACATCCATTCAGTAAGTACTGTATACTATTTCAAAGGCTGAATTGTGTTGTTATTCAATATTTATTTGTCTTTTTGGACTGCTAATCACTCTTCATCACTATTTTTGTACAGATGTTCCTGATGCTCCTGCTCCTCCTCAGATTATGAGCATGCGCCATGATTCAGCTTATCTTGCCTGGACTGATCCAAGGAAGACTGGAGGATCTCCTATTACAGGTATGGTCTGCTTTAACATTTCACCAACCTCCTCTCTGGCTCAATTCCACAGCATGTCTTTTGCCCTGTCTTCTTTTCCTAACACAAAACCGGTTGCAGATGGCCGCTCCTCCCTGAGCATGATTCCCCTGAAAGGGGATCGTCTGATTGTCGAGGTTTCTCTGTATAACTGTAGGGTCTTTACGTGCCTTCAGATGACTGTTGTTGTTATTTTGGGTTACATAAATAAAACTGAATTTAATTGAACTATCAACAACTATGTTATTCTGTCCTGATATTCTTGATACATTTTATATGTCAACTTTGGTTTATTTTGCTTTGGTAATATGTGCAGGCTATCATGTTGAGTTCAAGGAGAGAAACAGTATGTTGTGGAAGAGGGCAAGCCCAGCTGCCTTGAAGATGAGAGAACATAAAGTCACTGGGCTGACTGAAGGTCTGGAGTATGAGTTCAGAGTGATGGCAATTAATTTGGCTGGAATTGGTAGACCAAGTGCCCCCACTGATCCACAGGTGGCCCTGAACCCCGTTGGTAAGTAAAAGAAAAAATTACAAACATCTTTACAAAAATGATTTTCAAATATAAAACAATACATTCATTATTGTCATATCTATACCGCTAGATGCACCTGGTAAACCAGATGTAATCAGCATTACAAGGAGCACTGTGACCCTCCAGTGGACTGAACCTCAGTTTGACGGTGGCCACCGACTGACGGGCTACATTATTGAGAAAAGAGACCTGCCTTCTAAAATCTGGGTAAAGGCAAACAATGTGAATGTTGTGGAACCTGCATTCACTGTCACTAAATTGCAAGAGGGCTGCAAATACGAGTTCAGAATTCGGGCAAAGAATGCTGCGGGCGCTCTCAGTCCACCCTCTGAGCAGACAGATACCATTATCTGCACAGATGAATATGGTAAGATGAGATATAAATCTATATTAAAACCGTTCTGAATGTTTTCAGGCAGCATGATAAAAATAAATGTTTCCATTTGTCCTCCATCAGCTGCGCCAACCATTATAATTGATGCTCAGGTGATGGAAGGCTTGACTGTCCGAGCTGGCGATACTATCGTCATCACTGCCACAAGCATTTTAGGGAAACCTGCACCAACCTCCTGCTGGTCAAAGGGAGGAAAGTACTTTAAACCCTCAGATCTTGTTCAAATTGAGACCACTGCCACATCCTCCACTTTGTCGGTCAAATATGCTAGCAGGAAGGACTCTGGAGACTACATAATCACTGCCAGTAATCCCTTTGGTGTAAAGGAGGAAACTGTGAAGGTCAAAGTTCTGGATGTTCCTGGTGCTCCTGGACCCATTGAGTGCAGTGGTGTATCCTCAGAAAAAGTGACTCTTACATGGACAGCTCCTACTGAGGACGGAGGCTCTCCTATCAAGTATTACACCCTGGAGAAGAGGGAGACCAGCCGTTTGCTCTGGACTATCCTGGAAGATAACATTATTGATTGTCACTATGTGGCCAACAAACTCATCCAGGGCAATGAATACTTCTTCAGAGTCTCTGCTGTTAACCAGTATGGTGCCAGTGAGCCATCACACTCTGAGGCAGTTAAAATGGTGGATAGATTTGGTATGTATCATTTATTTTTGTTCTACAGTATATCTGGAAGAAGAATGCTAAATATTTGGATTCATCAATATATTTCTTTTATGGATCAACATAGGTCCACCTGGTCCACCTTCCAAACCAGAGGTTGAAAAAGTCGATGGACATTCAGCCACTGTGACCTGGAGAAGACCAACTGAAGATGGAGGAAGCGACATCATAGGTTATTGTGTTGAAAAGAAAGAGAAAAAAGGCATGAGATGGGTCAGAGCATCCAAGAAATCCATCACTGAACTCAGCTTTGAAGTCACAGGTCTCACTGAGGATGTGGAGTACGAGTTTCGTGTTCTTGCTGAGAACAGAGCTGGGTTTGGTGAGCCAAGTGAACCATCGATGGTTGTCAGGACAATAGTTGTTGCCTGTAAGTAAATAGATGTGAAAAGCAAAAGGCTACCAGACTCTGACATAATATTTCAACAATATAACAACAGTTTTGGGATTTTTTTTGTGTAAAATTCTAGATTTATTTTATTAATTATAATAATAATAATTTCTTCTTTTATATCTTATAGATCCACCTGGACCTCCAGTCAATCCAAGAGTTACAGACACAACCAAAACCACTGCCACTCTGAACTGGGGAAAACCTCTTCATAATGGTGGACTGGAAGTTACTGGGTATGTCATTGAGCACAAAAAAGAAGGAACAGAAGAATGGGTTAAGGATACCCCATCATCTCCACTTAGGATCACAGAATTTGTTGTTCCTGAACTAGACACTGGTGCAAAATACTGCTTCAGAATTAGTGCTGTGAATGCTAAAGGAGTGGGAGAACCTGCCGAAACTAAGGAATTCACTGAGATTGTGGAGCATGCAGCTGAACCTGGAATGGAGCTTGATGTTGAGCTCAGAAGAACTCTTGTTGTCAGAGCTGGTTGCTCCATTCGCCTTTTTGTGCCAATCAAGGGACGTCCTACACCTACTGTCACCTGGACCAAGGAAGGCGGACCTGTTCCACGTGCAGTCATTGACAGCACTGAATCATTTACGATGCTGATCATTCCTGAGAGTTCAAGAATTGATGCAGGCAAATATGAGCTTACCCTCGAAAACTCAGCTGGAAAGAAGAGTGCTGACATACACGTGAGAGTTCTGGATTCACCTGGGCCTCCGCTTAACCTAAAACCAATCAAGATTGACAAAGAAAGCATTACGCTTCAGTGGGAAATGCCTCTCATTGATGGTGGTGCAAAGATCACAAACTATATCATTGAGAAAAGAGAATCAACACGCAAGGCTTTTGCTACTGTTGTTACAAAGTGCCCAACTACTTCAGTCAGAATTTGTGACCTGGGTGAAGGTTGTGAGTACTATTTCAGAGTGTCTGCTGAGAATGAGTATGGTATCGGTGAGGCGGTTGAAACTTCTGATCCAATTCGTGCATCCCAGACACCAAGCTCTCCAGAGAGCATTATTCCTACTGATATCACCAAGAACTCTATCAGCCTGGCTTGGACCAAACCTAAGCATGACGGTGGAAGCAGAATTACAGGATATGTCCTGGAAGCCCAGAAGAAGGGAACTGATCAGTGGTCTCATATTACGACGGTCAAGAACATGGATTTCACTGTGAAGAATCTCAATGAGAATGAGGAGTACATTTTCCATGTAATGGCTGTCAATCACTCAGGTAGGAGTATTCCAAAGGAGAGCAAACCCATTGTTGTCAAGGACTCTACTTCTTTGCCAGAGTTTGACCTGCGTGGAGTTTGTCACAAGACTGTTATTGCCAAGGCAGGAGATGATATCAAGGTTGAAATTCCAGTTATGGGACGTCCTAGACCAACTGTCTCTTGGCAGAAGGATGGCGCAGCCCTGAAACTCACACAGAGGACCAATGTAGAAACTACTGCTGCTACGGTCATTATCAGCATCAGTGAGTGCACCAGAGCTGACAGTGGTGTATACACCATGACAGGAAAGAACATTGTTGGATCTGTGACAGACAGCATCACTCTGAAAGTTCATGATGTACCTGGTCCACCCAAAGGACCCGTTAAGATTGTGGAAATATCTCGTACTTATTGTATCTTTTCATGGGACGCTCCTGAGAATGATGGAGGGGTTCCCATCAACAACTATGTCATTGAAATACGAGACACCACTTCTCAAACATGGACTGAGCTGTCGTCTACCGTCATCCGCACAATGTTTAAAGCCATCCGGTTAACTACTGGATCAGAGTATCAGTTCAGAATAAAGGCTAAGAACAGATATGGTGTTGGACCTCCTATTACTTCAGAGACAGTGGTGGCTGCCTATCCATTCAAAGTCCCTGGTCCTCCAGGTACTCCTAACGTTGTTGCATTTACCAAAAACTCAATAACAATTGGCTGGAATGAGCCTGTGAATGATGGTGGAAATGAAGTCATTGGCTACCATGTTGAGAGGAAAGAAAGAACCAGCATAATGTGGTATAGGATTAGCAAGGGTCTTGTAAAAGGAAATATCTTTAAATCCTCTGGACTTGAAGATGGAGTTGCTTATGAGTTTCGTGTCATGGCTGAAAACATGGCTGGAATTGGTAAACCCAGCAAGGCCTCAGAACCGATACTGGCCTTGGACCCTGTTGACCCACCAGGTCAGCCTGTGCCAATATCTGTCAACAAGAATGCCATTACTATTCAGTGGACAAAGCCTGAGTATGATGGTGGGTTCAAAATCACCGGCTACATTGTGGAGAAGAGAGAACTGCCTGCTGGTCGCTGGATGAGAGCCAACTTTACCAACATAATTGAAACAACGTTCACTGTTAGTGGACTAACTCAAGATGCCTCATATGAGTTCCATATCATAGCCAGAAACTCAGCAGGTGCAGTGAGCATACCTTCTGAGCCTTCAGATCCTATTATCTGCAAAGATGACATTATCGAACCACGCATTATGGTAGATGCCATCTTTAGGGATGTTGTTCTACTAAAGGCAGGAGAGTCATTCAAGCTTGAAGCTGATATTGCTGGTCAACCAACACCATCTATGGTTTGGACCAAAAATGGAAAGGAGGTTGAGAATACAATGAAACTGGAAGTTAGGTTCACTGAACTGACAACTACTCTCACCAACAAGGACTCTATAAGGCCAGATGGAGGTGAATTCATTTTGACTGCCACTAATGTTGGTGGATTTGCAAAGCACATTTTTAATGTTAAAGTGCTTGACAGACCAGGACCACCAGTTGGACCTCTTAAGGTAACTGATGTCACAGCTGAGAACTGTGCACTCTCCTGGGCTCCACCTGCAGATGATGGTGGTTCCAAGATTGAAGGATATGTGATTGAGAAGCGTGAATCAAGCAGACTGGTTTGGACCAGTGTTGTTTCAGACCTCCAAGATACACAATACAAGGTTACTAAGCTGCTCAAAGGAAACGAATACATTTTTAGAGTAATGGCAGTGAACAAATATGGAATTGGCGAATCGCTTGAATCACAACCCACTATTGCAGACAACCCATATGTGATTCCAGATCCTCCTGAGAATGCTGAGGTGACAGCTATCACTAAAGATTCAATGGTTGTCATGTGGCAAGCACCTAAGAGTGATGGTGGAACTCCCATCACCACCTACCATATTGAAAGAAAAGATAGAATGGGCCTCCGTTGGGTCAAATGTAACAAGAGGAAAGTCAAAGATCTGCAGTTCAAGGCAACAGGTCTTGTTGTTGGACATGAATATGAATTCAGAATTATTGCTGAGAATGCTGCCGGATTGAGTGTACCAAGTGTGTCTAGTCCATTCTACAAGGCCACTGATGGACTATACAAGCCTGAAGCTCCATGCAACCCCAGAATCTTGGATACAACCAAGTCTTCAATTACTGTGGCTTGGAACAAACCTGCATTTGATGGTGGCTGTGAAATAATGGGCTACATTGTAGAAACATGCATCCCATCTGAAAAGAAGGAAGAAGAGGAATGGACCATTGTGACACCCAAGGAAGGTCTTCCTGCTACCTCATTCACCATTGTTAACCTGAAGGAGAATCAAGAGTACAAGATTCACATCTCTGCTGTCAATAGTGAAGGAATTGGAGAGGCAGCATCTGTACCTGGTAATCCAAAGGCAGAGGACAGGCTTCTCCCTCCTGAGATTGATTTGGATGCGGAACTTCGGTCAGTTGTCAGGCTTAGAGCTTGCTGTTCACTTAGACTGTTTGTGCCTATCAGAGGCAGACCACCCCCTCAGGTAAAATGGACCAAAGGAGATGGGGAGCCAGTTGAGAGGGCAATCATTGACAGCACAACATCATACACATCACTGATAATTGAAAATGTCAACCGATTTGACAGTGGAAAGTATAATCTTACTGTTGAGAACAGCTCTGGCTCCAAGACAGTTACAGTACAAGTCAGAGTGCTTGATACACCAAGTGCCCCACAGAATCTGAAAATTACTGCTGTGACAAAGGATGCTGTGACTCTGACTTGGGATCCACCAGTGAATGATGGTGGAGTTAAAATTAAGAATTATGTTGTTGAAAAACGTGAGTCTACAAGAAAAGCATATGCCACAGTCAATGCTCTCTGCTATCAAACCACCTTCACTGTTGACCAGCTCCTGGAAGGATGCAACTATTACTTTAGAGTTTTAGCGGAGAATGAGTATGGCATCGGCTTGCCCATTGAGACTGGTGAATCAGTTAAGGTGTCAGAGAAACCACAGCCTCCTGGCAAAATCACTCTTAAGGATGTTACCAAAAACAGTGTCACTCTCTCCTGGGAGAAGCCAGAGCATGATGGTGGCAGTAGAGTGGGCTGTTATGTTGTTGAGATCCTGCCTAAGGGTGCTGACAAGTGGACCCAAGCACTGATCGTAAAAGAAACAGAAGCTACTATTAGTGGACTAAATGCAGGTGAAGAATATATGTTCCGTGTTGCTGCAAGAAATGAAAAAGGAACAAGTGATCCACGTCAGATTGGAGTCCCTGTGATTGTAAAAGACCTTGTTATTGCACCTGCTGTCAAAATGTTGTTCAACACATTTACTGTGTTGGCAGGAGAAGACTTGAAAGTGGAGGTTCCTTATATTGCACGCCCCAAAGCAACAGTTTCATGGGTAAAGGATGGTCTCCCTCTTAAGAGAACTAGCAGAGTAAACTTTGGTGCTACAGACACAATGCTGAACCTCACTATAAAAGAAGCTACTAAAGATGATGTTGGACACTACATTATTACTCTTACCAACACAGCAGGAGAGACTAAAGCAGATATTGGCATTGTTGTTCTTGACAAACCTGGCCAACCAGGTGGTCCAGTTAAGGTAGAGGAAGTCACTTCTGACAGTGTAACCATCTCCTGGAATCCACCAGAGTATGATGGTGGTTGCACCATCAAAAGCTATATTGTAGAAAAGAGAGACACATCTACAACTGCCTGGATGGTTGTATCTTCCAACCTAGCAAGGACCAAAATTAAGGCAGGCAGGCTGAAAACAGGTTCTGAGTATCAGTTTAGAATTACTGCAGAAAACAGATATGGAAAAGGTCCAGCTCTTCTATCACCATGCATTTTGGCTCAATACCCATATAAACTCCCAGGCCCTCCAGGTACACCATCCATTGCAGTCTGCACCAAAGATAGCATGGTGGTCACCTGGAATGAACCTGTCATTGATGGTGGAACTTCTATCTTGGGCTACCACCTTGAACGTAAAGAGAGGAACAGCATCCTTTGGGTCAAACTAAACAAATCTCTTATTACAGACCAAACCTTTAAGACCACTGGTCTAGAACCAGGAATGGAGTATGAATACAGAGTGTATGCTGAAAACATAGTTGGAATAGGCAAAGCAAGTAAAGTGTCGGAGGGCTATATTGCTAGAGATCCTTGTGATCCACCTGGCACCCCAGAGGCAATAAAGATTACTAAGGACTCAGTGACTATTGTTTGGACCAAACCTGAGTATGATGGTGGTGCAAAGGTTACAGGCTACATTGTGGAAAAGAAGGAGCTTCCAGAGGGTCGTTGGTTGAAGGCTAATTTTACTAATGTAATTGAGACGGAATATTTAGCAAGTGGACTTGTGGAGGGCAATCAGTATGAGTTTCGTGTCATTGCCAGAAATGCTGCTGGTGTTTTCAGTATTCCTTCTTACAGCACTGGTCCAATTACTGCCAGAGATGAGATTGAGCCACCGAGCATAAGCATTGACCCAGAGTATACACAGAATATTGTGGTCAGTGCTGGCGATAACTTCAAAATTGATGCAGATGTTCATGGAAAACCACTGCCCTCTATCCACTGGATGAAGGGAGAGCAGGAACTAGGCAACACAATTCACAGGGAAATCAAGAACACACCCACCAAAGCTTTTATATCTGTCAAAGAAGCTAAACTGTCTGATGGAGGGCAATACATTTTGCTACTGAAAAATCCTGGAGGAGAAAAGACTGTACAGGTCAATGTTGTTGTTCTAGATAAACCTGGAGAACCACAAGGGCCTCTTGTTGTCACAGGAATAACCAAAGACAGATGCTGCCTTGCATGGAAACCACCATTGCAGGATGGTGGCAGCAAGATCTGTCACTACATTGTGGAGAGAAGAGAGACAAGCAGACTAATCTGGACTGTAGTTGAACAAAAAGTGGAGAACATTTGTCTAAAAGTTACTAAGCTCCTGGAGGGAAATGAGTACATCTTCAGAGTCCGTGCTGTCAACCAATTTGGAGTAGGCGCACCACTTGAATCTCCTGCTGTCATAATCAAGGATCCATACATGCTACCTGGATCGCCCAAGAACTTAGAAGTTTCAAATATTAAAAAGGATTCAATGGTGCTTACCTGGGAGGCTCCTTCTGAAGATGGTGGCAGTCCTGTAACTGGATACATAATTGAGAAGCATGACAAAGAAGGCGTAAGATGGACTAGGTGCAATAGGCAAACAGTCACTGATTTGAGTTTTAAGGTCAAAGGACTTTTGGAAAGCCACAATTATGAATTCAGAGTTGCAGCTGAGAATTCTGTTGGTGTTGGTGAGCCAAGCTCCCCAACTGTTTTCTACAAAGCTCTTGATCCTATCTTTAGGCCTGGCCCACCACATAACCCAAGAGTTACAGACACTACAAGAACATCAGTATTCCTGTCATGGGGAAAACCCATTTCTGATGGAGGCTGTGAGATTCAGGGATACATTGTTGAGTGCTGCACTACTACTGCTGAAGCACCTGCTGCTGAAGGAGCTGCCACAGACACAGTTGTTGAAGAATGGATAATGTGCACACCAGCTACAGGTGTTAAGAAGACTAAGTTTGAAGTTGCAAATCTGAAAGAAAACCAGGCATACAAGTTTAGAGTATGTGCAATCAACAAAGTAGGAGTTGGTGAGCATGCTGATGTTGCTGGAATTGTTGTTGCTATGGACAGAGCAGATGAGCCAGACCTTGACATTGACCCAGAACTAAGAAAAATTGTTACCATTAAAGCTGGTGCGTCTCTAAGACTCTTCATTCCTATCAAAGGCAGGCCCACACCTACTATAAAGTGGGACAAAGATGAAGCTCCCCTTAAAGAGAGTGCTCAGGTTGAGATAACCAGCAGTTATACATTGCTTGTGATTGATAAAATGAGCAGAAATGACAGTGGAAAATACACAGTCTCTGCAGAGAATTCCAGTGGAACCAAATCTGCATTGGTTGTTGTCCGTGTCCTTGACACACCTAGTGCTCCTGTTAATCTTAAAGTGAAAGAAATTACAAACCAGTCAGTAACATTGGAATGGGAACCACCTCTGTTGGATGGTGGATCCAAGATCAAAAACTACATTGTTGAAAAAAGAGAAAGCACACGCAAAACATTTGCAGCTGTTGTCACAAATTGTCATGCTCTTTCATGGCAGATCGAACCACTCCAGGAGGGCTGCAGTTACTACTTCCGTGTACTTGCAGAGAATGCTTATGGTGTTGGTCTGCCTGCAGCAACTGTTGATCCTCTTAAGGTCTCAGAAGTGCCCCAGGCTCCAAAGAGTTTAATTGTTACAGATCAGACAAAAACAAGCATCTCTCTGGCCTGGGAGAGGCCAGAGTATGATGGTGGTAGCAGGATCATGCAGTACTTGCTTGAGGTGCAGCTGAAGGGTCAAGAGAAATGGTCTGCTGTAAACACTTTTAAGACAATGGAAGCAACAGTCTCCAATTTGAACCCAGGAGAGGAGTATCTTTTCAGAATTACAGCTGTCAATGATAAAGGGAAGAGTGATCCCAAAGTCCTTTCCGGGCCAGTGATGACCAAAAACTTGGTCTTTGAGCCAGATGTCCGTCCAGAATTCAGCAGCTACAGTGTTCATGTGGGCAAAGACATTAACATTGACATTCCTATCTTTGGACGTCCTAAACCTACCATCACATGGACTAAAGATGGCGCTCCGTTGAAGTTTACTACAAGAGTCCATATTGTCAATACACCAACACATACAACACTAAGCATAAAAGAGGCAGCAGGCGATGATGGTGGTATGTACAGCATAAATGTTGCCAACTCAGCTGGAAAGAAGGACACAACAATTGAAGTCATTGTACTTGACAAACCTGGCCCTCCATGTGGCCCTGTGAGATTTGATGAAATCACAACACAGAGTGTCACTATATCATGGGACCCACCAAAACACAATGGTGGATGCCAAATTTCAAACTACGTTGTACAGAAAAGAGATACAACTACTACAACATGGGAGAATGTTAGTATCAACTGGGCCAGAACCACCATAAAAGTACCTAGACTAAAGACTGGAGCTGAGTACCAGTTCAGGATCATTGCCCAGAACCGTTATGGTAAAAGCCATGGTCTGGATTCATCTGCTGTAGTTGCTCAGTACCCATACAGAGAGCCAGGCCCTCCAGGCACTCCTTTCATCTCTTCTCTCTCTAGGGACCACCAAATTGTTGAGTGGCATGAACCTGTCACAGATGGAGGCAGTCCTGTTCTTGGCTACCATCTTGAAAGGAAAGAGAGGAATAGTATTCTCTGGGTCAAGATCAACAAGACTCTCATCCACGAGACAAGTTTCAAGAGTTATCCCTTGGAGGAGGGTGTTGAATATGAATACAGGGTTTATGCTGAAAATATTGTTGGAATTGGAAGGAGCAGCAAAGTCTCAGAGGGATGTGTTGCCCGTGATCCATGTGATCCTCCTGGAATACCAGAGGCCATCCATGTGACCAAAGACACCATTGTCATTCAGTGGACTAAACCAGAATATGATGGTGGAAGCAATATCACTGGCTATATTGTGGAAAAGCGTGATCTGCCCGAGGGCAGGTGGGTAAAGGCAAATTTTACTAATGTGATTGAGACCCAGTTTACAGTGACTGGTCTGACTGAAAATGCACAGTATGACTTTAGAGTCATTGCTAAAAATGCTGTTGGCACTGTCAGCAAACCATCATATAACAGTGGACCTATAACTGCAAGTGATGCTGTGGAGGCACCCAAATTCTCCATTGATCCTGCATTCACCAAGACCATTATTGTCAATGCTGGAGAGACATTCAAGCTAGATGCTGATGTACGTGGCAAGCCGCTGCCAACAATCCAGTGGTTCAAAGATGACAAACCAGTTGAAAACACACTTCGACTAGAGATCAGAAACACAGAAAACCATGCAATGATTGTCATTAAAGACTCCATTAGAGTTGATGGTGGAACTTATACACTCCAGCTGAAAAATGAAGCCGGTAGTGAGACTGTTCCATTTAAGGTTTTGGTACTGGATAAACCTAGCCCATGTGAAGGACCACTCCATGTCACTGGAGTCGCTGAAGATAGATGCACACTTGTATGGCACCCCCCTCTACATGATGGAGGTAGTCCTATTACACATTACATCATTGAAAGAAGGGAGACAAGTCGTCTAGCTTGGACTGTTGTTTCTAGCAACTGTGGCACCACATGCTACAAAGTTACCAAATTACTGGAAGGTGACGAGTATATGTTCCGTGTAATGGCAGTTAATAGTCATGGTGTAAGTGAGCCACTGGAGTCTGGTGCAGTAATAATGAAAACTCCATTTGTTCTCCCTGGTCCACCTCACATTGAGGATGTATCTAACATTGCCCATGATGGTATGACCATCTCTTGGTCTGCCCCTGAGACTGATGGTGGCAGTGAAATTACAAATTACATAATTGAGAAAAAGGATAGAACCGGGATCAAATGGACCAGATGCAACAGACTGAAGGTCACTGATCTCTCATTTAGAGTTACAGGCCTGACCACAGGCCATGAGTATGAATTCAGAGTGGCTGCTGAGAACATAGTTGGAGTGGGAGAGCCAAGCCTTGCAAGTTCATACTACAAGGCCTGTGATCCCAAGTACAAACCTGGAGCCCCAGGATATGTGCATGTGATTGACTCAACAAAGACTTCTATTACTGTGTCATGGGGTAAACCTCTGTCTGATGGTGGCAGTGTCATTCAAGGATATATTGTTGAAGTCTGCAAGGCTGAAGAGGAAGAATGGACCATGGTCACTCCTCCAACTGGCCTGCGTGTCAACAAATATGAAATTACAAAGCTTACTGAGGGTCAGGAGTACAAGATTCAAGTGTGTGCTCTGAACAAATTGGGAGTTGGCGAGCCGGCAGTTCTGTCTGGAACAGCTAAGCCTGAAGAAAGGGTCGAACCACCTGAGATCCACCTTGACTCTGAGCTGAGGAAGGGCATTGTACTGAAAGCAGGCGGCTCTGTTAGAATCAATATTCCATTTAAGGGCAGACCAACACCTGAGATAAAGTGGACTAAGGATGACGGAAACCTGACTGAAAAACCAGTGGTCGAGAAAGCTCATAATTTCACACAGTTGTCTATTGACTCATGTGACAGAAGTGACTCAGGAAAATACACCCTCACACTGACTAACAGCAGTGGCACTGTGTCTGAGGTTGTTTCAGTTAAAATTCTGGATGCCCCTGGGGCCCCACAGAACCTTGTTGTTAAAGAAATCAGAAAGGACTCTGTCACTCTTGCTTGGGATGCTCCATTGATTGATGGAGGTGCCAAAATCAAGAACTATGTCATTGACAAACGTGAATCAATAAGAAAGGCATATGCAAATGTGTCCATAAAATGCACCAAAACAACATTCAAAGTTGAGAACTTGATTGAAGGTGCTATGTACTACTTTAGAGTCATGGCTGAGAATGAATATGGAATTGGGCCGGGTGTGGAAACAAAGACTGCCTCCAAGGCCTCTGAAGTACCACTGCCTGTTGGAAAGATCTTCCTCAATGATGTCACTAAATCCAGTGTCTCACTGGCCTGGGAGAAACCTGAGCAGGATGGAGGGAGCAGAATTGCTGGCTATCTAATTGAGATGCAACCTAAGGGTACAGATAAGTGGGGAGTTGCAACAAATACAAAAACATGTGAAGGTACTGTCACAGGCCTTACAGCTGGAACAGAATACCTATTCCGCATCATTGCTTACAATGAAAAGGGAAAGAGTGAGCCAAAAGCACTTGCTGCACCTGTGATTGCCACTGACATGACCATGGAGCCCAGCATCAAAATTCCATTCAACACTTACAGTGTATTAGCTGGGAAGGATCTAAAGTTAGATTTTCCTGTTCTTGGCAAGCCAAAACCTAAAGTCACCTGGGCCAAGGATGGTCAGCCTTTGAAGGTGACATCAAGAATGAATATAATATCCACTAAAACAACAACGGGAATAGAAATTACTGAGGCATGCAAGGAGGACTTTGGCAAATACACAATTACAGCAGCCAACACCACTGGAACAACCACAGAGGATGTATCTGTCATTATCCTCGACAAGCCTGGTCCACCAAAAGGGCCAGTCAAGATTGTTGAAGTGAGCAACACCTTTGTCCACCTCTCCTGGGACCCCCCAGAGTACACCGGTGGATGCCAAGTAAAGAATTACATAGTAGAAAAGAGAGACACAACCAGTACAACATGGCAAACAGTCACCACTCAGCTAGCTAGAACAGCTTTTAAGGTCAGCAAGCTGAAGACAGGTTCAGAATATCAGTTCAGAATCATAGCTGAAAATAGATATGGAAAGGGTGCGCCTCTGGATTCCAAGGCCATTGTGGTGCAATATCCATTCAAACCACCGGGTCCTCCAGGAACACCACATGTGAAATATGCAACTAAAGAAATGATGATCATTGAATGGAATGAGCCAGTCAATGATGGTGGAAGTGCAGTTATTGGCTACCATTTGGAAAGCAAGGAAAGAAGCAGCATTCTATGGAGCAAACTGAACAAGACTCTCATTACAGACACACAATTCAAGATCGTTAACCTTGAGGAGGGTATTGGATATGAATTTAGAGTTTATGCTGAAAATATTGTTGGCATTGGCCGATGCAGTAAAGTATCCGAGTCCTTTGTTGCTCGCGACCCATGTGATCCTCCTGGTACCCCAGAAGCTGTATCTATTTCTAAGAACCAGATCAGGATTCAGTGGACTAAGCCTCAGTATGATGGTGGTAGCAAAGTGAATGGATATATTGTGGAAAGGAAAGACCTCGCCTCTCCTGATGGACGCTGGGTAAGAGCTAACTTTACCAATATAGTTGAGACTGAGTACACTGTCACTGGTCTAACAGAAAATGAGCAATATGAATTTAGAGTTATTGCAAGAAATGCAGCTGGCATCTTTAGCGAGCCATCTGACAGCTCTGGACCTATTACTGCTACTGATGAAATTGAACCACCAAGGGCCTCAATGGATCCTAAATACAAAGATGTTATTGTTGTAAATGCTGGAGAAAATCTGCTTCTGGATGCAGACATCTATGGAAAACCAATTCCTGAGGTGCTCTGGCTGAAAGAGGGCAAGGAAATGGACAAAGCCTTGCGCATCGAAGTGAAAACTACACAGAAACGTGCAGCAATGACGATTAAGGATGTAACCAAGCTTGATAGTGGCCACTATGACCTCATCCTCAAAAATCTGGGTGGTACAAAAGTGTTCCCTATCACAGTTAAAGTCCTTGATAAACCAGGTCCACCCACTGGACCCATGAAGATTACTGGAGTCATGGCCGACAGGTGCATTCTTGCCTGGTCTGAGCCAGCTCTAGATGGCGGAGCCAGTATCACTCACTATGTGCTGGAGAAGAGAGAGACTAGCAGGTTGTCCTGGACCGTGGCTGCATCAGACATCAAGGGTCTGTACCATAAAGTAACAAATTTGCTTCCTGGAGATGAATACATTTTCAGAGTCAGAGCAGTGAACAAATATGGCATTGGTGACTATCTGGAAAGTGAACCCATCATTGCACGCAATCCTTACAAGCCTCCTAGCGCTCCTGGAACTCCAGAAGCCAGTCTGATCACAAAGGACTCTATAGTTTTGTCGTGGACAGCTCCTGAACAGACTGGTGGAGCTGAAATTGAAGGCTACCATCTTGAAAAACGTGACAAAGACAGTGTACGGTGGACAAAATGCAACAGACAAAAGCTTAGAGACGCTCAGTTTAAAGTCACAGGTCTGAGCACAGATCACTTCTATGAGTTCCGTGTTGCTGCTGAGAATGAGGTTGGAATGGGAGATTTCAGTGAGCTGTCCCTGTTCTACAGGGCATGTGATGCCATAAGACCACCTGGGCCTCCGCACCATCCTAAAGTAACAGACTACACAAAGTCCTCTGTCTCTCTGTCTTGGGGCAAACCTGACTTTGATGGCGGTGCTTATATCAAGGGATATATTGTTGAAATGAGGGAGTATACACCGGTACCTGAGTCAACAGAGGAGGCAGAGATAGCACCAGCAGTAGAAGCACCAGTTGAAAAAGAATGGACAATGTTCACTCCACCCAGTGGCATTCAAGCCACCAAATTAACTATAACAGACTTGAAGGAGGGTGGAGAGTACCAGTTCCGTGTCTATGCAATAAATTCAGAAGGAGTTGGGGAGGCTGCTAATGTCCATGGCACAGTGGTTACTTCTGACAGGGCAGAAGCACCAGAGATAGAACTTGATGCTGAACTCAGAAAGGTTCTATCTGTCCGTGCTGGTGGGACTCTACGCCTCTTTGTCACCATCAGAGGAAGACCTGAGCCTGCTGTAAAATGGGAGAAAGTTGACAGTACCCTTACAGAGCGTGCTGTAATTGATACTACTAGTTCATTCACCATGCTTGTCATTGACAATGTTAATCGCTTTGACAGTGGCAAATACTCACTAACACTAGAAAACAGTAGTGGCAAAAAATCTGCAATTGTTGCAGTCAGAATTTTGGATACACCAAGTGCACCACAAAACTTTACCGTGAAGGAGCTAAAGAAGGATTCAGTGACTCTTGCCTGGGATACTCCACTTACTGATGGTGGCTCTAAAATCACAAACTACATCATAGAGAAGAGAGAGTCTGTTAGGAAGGCCTATGCTGCTGTCACCAGCAACTGTACAGCAAACTCATTTAAGGTAGAAGACCTGCCAGAAGGTGGAATTTTCTACTTCAGAATCTGTGCTGTTAATGAATATGGCCAAGGCCAGATGGTCGAAACCAAAGAAGTAAAGGTAGCTGAGGTACCTTTGCCACCAAGCAAGGTTACCCTTGTAGATTTGACCAAGACTAGTGTGTCACTGGCTTGGGAGAAACCTGCTCATGATGGTGGATGCAAAGTAATGTGCTACAATGTAGAATTTAAGCCTAAGAGTGGGGATAAATGGGGCACAGCATGTACAGTTAAGGTACCGGAAGCAACTATTCCTAATTTAACTCCAAATGAAGCTTATTTATTCAGAGTTGTTGCAATCAATGAGAAGGGGAAGAGTGAGCCAAAGGATCTTGGCTTACCTGTGGTTGCAAAGGATGTTGCTATTGAACCATCTATCAACTTGCTGTTTACCACATACACTGTGAAGGCTGGAGGTGACCTCACTTTTGAGGTTCCAATAAGAGGCAGACCAAAGCCCGCTGTGTCCTGGAAGAAGGATGGCCTTCCTTTGAAGCAAACCACATCAGTTTCTATCTTAAACACTGCAGCCTCATCCAAAATCATTATCAAAGAGGCTAAGAAGGAACATGTTGGGAAGTATGAAATGACTTTGGCAAACACAGCAGGAACTGTTACAACAGATATTGGAGTCATTGTCCTTGATAAGCCAGGTCCACCTAAAGGAATTAAGGTGGATGCAGTGACTTCAGACAGCATCTCCCTTTCCTGGTCCCCACCAGAATATGATGGTGGCTGCTCCATCAGCAACTACATTGTGGAGAAGAGAGACACAAACACACAGGAATGGCAGATGATAGCAAGTAATGTTGCTAGAACAGCTTTCAAAGCTGGCCGCCTTACACATGGAGCAGAGTATCAGTTTCGTATTTATGCTGTTAACCGCTATGGAAAGAGTAGTTATCTGGATTCACCTGGAATCACTGCTCAGTACAATTTTAAACAGCCCGGACCTCCTTCTACACCCATAGTGAAACTGGCCACCAAGTCTTATATGCTGGTGACTTGGAATGAGCCAGTTAGTGATGGTGGTAGTCCTGTTCTGGGCTACCACCTGGAGAGGAAGGAGCGTTCTAGCATTCTTTGGACAAAGATGAACAGAGGAATGATTAAAGATACAGAGTACAAAGTCACTGGAATTGAAGAGGGCATGATGTATGAATACCGTGTATATGCTGAAAATATTGCTGGTATTGGTAAATGTAGCAAGGCTTGTGAAGCCATAGCAGCAAGAGATCCATGTGACCCTCCAGGTAAACCCATTATCATTGCAATCACCAGAACATCAGTCTCGTTATCTTGGGAAAAACCAGAATATGATGGAGGAGCAAAGGTTTCTGGTTACACAATTGAACGCAGAGACCTTCCAGAAGGACGATGGACAAGGTGCAACTTCACCAATGTACCTGAGACCCATTATGATGTGACAGGCCTTACAGAGAACAGCCAGTATGATTTCCGTGTCATTGCAAAGAATGCAGCTGGACTGTTTAGTATACCATCAGACAATACTGGTCCCATCACTATTAAAGATGATGTGGAGCCACCACGCATCATGATTGATGTGAAATTCAGAGAGACCGTGTTTGTGAAAGCCGGGGAAACTCTAAAGATTAATGCGGATCTTGCGGGACGTCCTGCTCCTGTCATTTCATGGACCAAGAATGGCAAAGAAATCGAGCTAAGAGCTAGAATTCAAATTGTTTCAACAGACACCAGCACGTGTCTCACTATGAAGGATTGTATCAGAAGAGATTCTGGACAGTATGCCCTGACTTTACAAAATATTGGTGGAACAGTTACCATGCCAATAAACTGTGTGATTCTAGATAGGCCAGGACCCTCAGCAGGACCACTTCAGATTACAGGTATCACAGCAGCAGAGTGCACTCTGTCTTGGGGTCCACCTCAGGAATCTGGTGGTGCAGACATCACTCATTATGTTGTTGAAAAACGTGAGACCAGTCGGCTGTCATGGACACTGGTGAAGGCAGATGTCACAAAAACATTCTTTAAAGTCACAGGTCTGCTCAAGGACAATGACTATATCTTTAGGGTTCTTGCTATTAACAAGCATGGTGTTGGTGAAGCTCTGGAGAGTGATGTTATAAAGGTTACAAATCCATACACCTTTGCCACTGCTCCAGCTAGTGTTGATGTCACTACTATAACTGGAGACTCAATGACCCTCACCTGGTGCAAGCCAGCCAATGATGGAGGCAGTCCCATTACTGGATATGTGATTGAGCGGCGTGAGAAAACAAGCATGCGTTGGGTCCGTGTGAACAGAGATCCAGTTCCTGAATTTACCACAGTAGTAACTAAACTCCGCAAGGGTTGTGAATATGACTTCCGAGTTTATGCTGAAAATGCAGCTGGTTTGAGTCCACCGAGTGAACCATCTGCAACATTCAGAGCAGTAGATCCTCTGGTCGTTCCTTCTCGTCCAACCAAGCCAAAGATTGTGAATTCAACCAAAGACAGCGTGTCTATTGTCTGGAAACCACCAACAGATGATGGTGGTGCTCCTATCCTTGGATACAGTGTAGAATACAGAGACTACATCCAGAAACCAGAGGAAGAGGAAGAAGAAGAATATGAGGAGGAAGAGGAGGTACTTGAGTCACCTGAAGAACTAGCAAGATGGGTTGAGGCCATCCCTCTTACAAAGAGCTTAGAATTCACCATCACTGGATTGAAGACAGATGCAGAATATGAATTCTGTGTTAAAGCAATCAATAAAGTTGGCAGCAGTGTGCGTAGTCCATATTCAAATCCATCTGCCGCAAAGGACAGAACTGCAGAACCATCATTTGATGTTGACATTGAGATGCGGAAAGTGCTCTCTGTTAAGCATGGTACAGCATTTACTCTTAATGTGCCATTCAAGGGAAACCCTTTGCCATCAGTGACATGGGCTAAGGAGGGTGTTGATCTGAAAGTCAGAGGAACCATTGAATCAACAGAATCCAGCACTTCATTGACTATTGAGAAGTCAACTAGAAATGACTCTGGAGAATACACTGTCACAATTGAATCACCACTAGGAAAAGCAACATTGCCTGTGGTTGTCAAAGTACTTGACTCTCCAGGACCCCCAGTGAATGTTAAAGTATCTTCAGTGACCAGGGATTCTGCAACCCTCACTTGGGATCCTCCAGAGAATGATGGTGGTGATGCAGTAAAGGCCTACCATGTTGAAAAACGTGAGGCCAGTAAGAAAGCCTGGGTGTCTGTGACTGGCAACTGCCACACTCTGACTTACAAGGTGGAAGACCTACAGGAGGGAGCTATCTATTATTTCAGAGTTATTGGAGAAAATGAGTATGGAGTGGGTGTCCCTCAGGACGCTAAAGCTGGGACAAAGATCACAGGTAACATATGCACTGAGTGCTTATATTTGTAAAGGTTTTTTCTTTAAAAACATCATAAATCAATATTATGGACTTAATAAAATTGTCCTGCTGTCTGTTATAGAGGTACCAAGTCCACCTATGAAACTTGGAGTTGCAAATGTTACCAAGGACAGTGTTACTATTGCCTGGACCAGACCAGAATATGATGGCGGAAGCAGAGTCACTGGTTATCTTATTGATGCCCTGGAGAAAGGACAGACCAAATGGGTGAAATGTGCCACTGTGAGGACCTTGACTCACACAATCAAGAGCCTTAGGGAAGGTGCTGAGTACTTTTTCAGAGTCCGTGCTGAGAACCATGCTGGACTTAGTGAACCCAAGGAGATGATCGTTCCAGTTATTGTCAAGGAAATACACGGTATTGTTGCTGTCTTTACTTTAAACTTTTCAGATTACACATATTACATAATGTACATTTCTGACATGCTATGTCTATGTATAATTAATCCTAATTATAATAATTATAATAATCCTAATTTATATAAATGGGCAAGTTTTTAAAAGCTATGGTATTTCCGAAATAATAAACATTATTATTGTTTTACTAAGCTGCCATGTCTTACCACAGTCCTGTGTTATTATTTTTCTTTTCCAACAGAGGCTCCAGAGTTTGACCTAAAGAACTACCCCAAGAATACAGTTTATGTAAGAGCAGGATCCAATCTGACCTTTGAGATTCCATTAACTGGCAGGCCCATGCCAAAGGTCACTGTTTCCAAGAACAATATTGTCATTAAGGGATCCAAGAGGCTGCTGACAGAAGTAACTCCAGATAGTTTAATCATCACCCTAAATGAAAGTGTTTCAGTGGATGCTGGCAAATATGAAATCACAGCCTCAAATGCAGGAGGTACTACCAAGATTTTCATTATCTTCGTTGTGCTGGACAGACCTGGACCTCCTGTTGGTCCAGTTCAGATTGGAGAAGTTGGAGAGACCACAGTGTGTCTGAAATGGACTCCTCCAGAGTACGATGGTGGCAGTCCTGTTACGAATTATGTTGTTCTTAAACGTGAAACCAGCACTCCTGCCTGGGTAGAGGTGTCGACTACCATTGCCAGAAGTGAGATCAAGGTGACTAAGCTGACTAAAGGAGAGGAGTACCAGTTCAGAATTAAGGCTGAGAATCGTTATGGTATCAGTGATCATATTGACAGCAAGCCGGTCATGATAAAGCTTCCATACAGTAAGCCACTTTATCCTGTATCTTCAATTCCAATTCTTCTGTTTTATGAACAAGGCATCTTTGTTAATGTATTCTAACAAGAGTGTGTTCTGTAACAGCTGTGCCTGGACCTCCATCCACACCTTGGGTTAGCTATGTATCTAGAGAGAGTCTCACAGTCTGCTGGAATGAGCCAGTCAATGATGGTGGAAACCCTGTAGTTGGATACCATCTCCAGATGAAAGAGAGGACCAGCATCCTTTGGCAGAAAATCAATAAGACCCCAATCCCAGGAGACCAGTGGCGTGTCACAAACATCTGCCCTGGTCTTATCTATGAATTCAAGGTGGCAGCTGAAAATTCTGCTGGTATTGGAAAAATGAGCAAAACATCAGAAGAAGTGCTTGCTATTGATGCCTGTGGTGAGTATTTTAAGTATTTAATTTTTGCAGTTTTATGCCTTAATTATATGAGCTTACAACTGAAAATCATTGCAGTTACTTTATTAAACTTGGATCTTTCTCACTTTAATAACACAGAGCCCCCGGCAAATGTTCATGTCACCGAAGTCACGAAGAACTCGGTCAGTCTGGCCTGGCAGAGGCCTCCATATGATGGTGGCAGTAAGATTACTGGTTACAGTGTAGAAAGGAGGGAGGCACCCAGCGGCAGATGGGTGAAGGCCAACTTTACAAACATCATTGAGATGGGTTTCACTGTATCTGGACTGACCCAGGATGAGTCTTATGAGTTCAGAGTTTATGCTAAGAATGCAGTTGGGTCTGTCAGCAATCCATCTCTCATTGCTGGACCAGTGACTTGTGTTGATGCATGTGGTGAGCATATAATCCAAAATTATATGGACATTTATTAATTACTTGTAATAATTTTATTTATACACTTGTATAAATGTTTCTCGTCACAGGTGCCCCAGCTATAGACCTTCCTCCAGAGTATCTGGATGTAGTTCAGTACAAAGCTGGAGCTACAGTTAAGCTCAGAGTAGGAATTATTGCCAAGCCTCTACCAACGATTGAGTGGCTCAAGAATGGAAAGGAGCTAGTAACAACCTCCACTGTGTCTGCTGAAAGCACAACGGACTCTTCTGCTGTTCTGATCAAGGATGCAACTCGCAATGACACAGGTTCATATGAGATCAAGATTAAGAATGTTCTGGGGTCAGCATCTGCAACCATCAGAACTGAAATCCTAGGTATTTATAAGTTATTGATTCTCACATTTCCTTACATCTGAATTCCTAACCAGTTTAAATCCAGACTATAAAGCCTCCATCATCTCATCCATCCATGTTATTTTAATTTTTTATCTTTCCTTAGACAAACCTGGACCCCCAGCTGGCATTATTAACTTCAACTCCATCACAGCAGAAAGAATTATGTTCAGCTGGGAACCTGTGCCTGAGTGTGACCAGGGAGGCTCCAAAGTCACCCACTACATTGTTGAAAGACGTGAAACCAGTAGAGTGGTGTGGTCAACAGTTTCTGAAAGGTGTGAACAGACGTACATTGCTGTTGGCAAGCTGGTCCGTGGAAATGAGTATGTATTCCGTGTAATGGGTGTTAACAAGTATGGAGTTGGAGAACCACTGGAGTCAGAGTCTGTCATCGCTAAGAATGCCTTTGGTAGGTTTCACTAGAGTGGCATGGAATCCACAGCAGCTATCCTGTGTGTTTCTTCTTCTTTTTAACACATTTTATTTTTATCAGGCTTTTTTGTCATTAACTTCACTGTTATGTGATCTTAACATACCTATTGTCTGTTCTTAAAGTAACTCCTGGGCAGCCTCATACCCCTGAGGTGACCACCATTACAAAGTCCACTATGGTGGTGGAATGGGGCAAACCAGGTGTGGATGGAGGCAGTGCAGTGACAGGCTACTACCTGGAGAGACGAGACAAGAAGAGCTTGCGCTGGATCAGAGTTTATAAAGAGCCTGTCACTGACACCAAACAGACAGTTTATCACTTAACAGAAGGAAATGAATACCAGTATCGTGTGTGTGCCATTAACAAGGCCGGAGAGGGACCGTTTTCTGATGCATCAGACTATTATAAGGCTGCTGACCCAGTTGGTAAGTACACTTAGATTCACAGATTTACCACAAAATTAATGATTACTAATCTACACTCCACTTAACAAATACATGGTACTTACAGATCCACCAGATGAGCCTTGCAAGTTAAAGGTGGTGGACTCTACCAAGACTTCCATCACTTTGGGCTGGTCCAAGCCAGAATGGGATGGAGGAAGTGAGGTCACAAGTTACATGGTGGAAAAGCTTGTGGAGGGAGAAAAAGAATGGGCTATGATTACCTCCAAAGGAGAGGTCAAAACAACAGAATATGTTGTCCACAATTTAAAACCAAATGTCAACTACTTCTTCAGAGTCTCTGCTGTCAATTGTGCTGGTCGCGGAGAGCCTCTGGAGATGACTGAACCAGTGCAGGCTAAGGACATCCTGGGTAAATTCATTACTTATTGAAAATAAAATAAATCGTGTGTTCAGTGTACAGCATGTGTTTCTTGTTTTGTATTCATGTTGCCCACATATAGTTTCCCTTGTATGACCTTCTATATACTCCCTTCCCAGAGGAGGCCCAGATTGACTCTGATGTTGCCATGAGAACTCACTACATTGTGAAGGCCGGCAAGGATGTTGAGCTGTCTGTTCCATTGAAGGGCAGACCTGCGCCCACTGCCTCTTGGAGCAAGGGAGAAGAATGCATTGACCACGATCCCAAATATGAATTCCACCATTCAGACACAAGCACAGTCCTTGTTATGCGTGAGGTGACCAAGCTTGATACTGGAAAATATACAGTAAAGATAGAGAATGGTGTGGGTGAGCCCAAGACAGTGACTCTGTCTGTCAAAGTCCAAGACACCCCAGCTCAGTGCAGGAACCTGGTCCTGAAGGAGGTGACCCGTGGAAAGGTGACTCTCTGCTGGGAGGCCCCACTTCTTGATGGCGGTGCAGAGATTACTAACTATGTTGTGGAGAAGAGAGACTCATCCAAGAGATCATACTCTATGGTGACAAACAAATGCACAGACACAACATACACCATTGAAGATCTTTCTGAAAAGACATCCTTCTTCTTCCGTGTCTTAGCAGAGAATGAGAATGGTATCGGTGATCCATGTGAAACACATGAACCTGTTAAGGCTACAGAAACTCCAGGCCCAGTCAAGGAGGTTTCAATGAAAGATTCATCAAAGACCTCCATCACTCTCCAGTGGCTTAAGCCAGATTACGATGGTGGTAGTATAATCTCTGACTACATTATTGAGAAGAAGGTCAAGAATGAAGATTGGTCATTAGGAGGAACAAGCAGACAGTGTGAGTTTGAGGTAAAGAAACTGAAGGAGCACTCGAATATGTTCTTTAGAGTTGCTGCCAGGAATGAGAAAGGACATGGAGATTTTGTTGAAATTGGACCTATCAAGGTCATTGACTACATTATTACACCAGAGGCAGACCTTACAGAATATCCACATGGTAGCATCAGCATTCGCCTGGGTCACAATGTGCACATTGAACTGCCATACAAAGGCAAACCCAGGCCTTCTGTTCTTTGGATGAAGGACAGCCTGCCGCTTAAAGAGAGTGATCAAGTACGCTTCAAGACAACAGAAAACAAAGCCACCCTAATGATTAAGAATGTGAAGAAGGAGAATGAGGGCAAATACACCTTAACCCTTGACAACAAAGTGAACAGGAAATCCTTCCACATCCATGTCATCACACTGGGACCACCATCAAAGCCTGTTGGACCTATCCGACTGGACGAAGTGAGAGCAGAAAGCATTATGATCTCATGGGATGAACCAAATGACTATGGTGGTGGAGACATAACTTGCTACACCGTGGAGAAACGTGATACCTCCCAAAATGACTGGAAGATGGCCTCCTCCAGTGTACAGGATACTCAATTCAAAGTCTCCAACCTTATCAAAGGTGTCCAATACCAGTTTAGAGTGTGTGCTGAAAACAGGTATGGTGTCAGCGAGCCTCTGCTTTCGCAAATGGTTATTGCCAAGCACCAATTCAGACCACCAGGCCCACCAGGCAAGCCAATTGTATACAATGTTACCAACGATGGTATGACCATTCAATGGGAGAAACCTATCTATGATGGTGGCACCCCTATTCAGGGCTATCATGTGGAGAAGAAGGAGAAGAATAGCATTATGTGGCAAAAGGTGAACACTATGTTGATCAAAGAAACAGATCACAGGATTTTGGAGCTCATTGAAGGCCTTGAATACTCCTTTAGAGTCTATGCACAGAATGATGCTGGGTTCAGCCGAATGAGTGATGAGAGCAAACCAATCATGGCCGTCAGTCCAGTTGGTGAGTATTAATTCAGACCATGACATAAATCCCTTTGTTACACTTGAAAAATACAACATGCTGGAAATTTTGCATGTTATGTATAAAATCTGAGAAAAATGTTGTTGGAATAAAAACACTGTGGCAAAGAGTTAAAAGGTGCATTATGCATTTCAGATCCTCCTGGCCAGCCTGATTACACTGATGTGACTAGTGACTCAGTGTCACTGAAATGGGATGCACCCAAACGTGATGGCGGTAGCAAGATTGTTGGATACAATATCGAGAAACGCCAAGGACATGGACGCTGGTTCAAGGCCAACTTGACTGATGTGCACGACTGTCAGTATACCGTCACTGGATTGGCAACAAATGAACGCTATGAGTTTAGGGTCATTGCCAGAAATGCCATGGGTGTTGTCAGTCCTCCATCCAACTCTTCTGGCATGATTGCTGTCAGAAGTGAAAATGGTGAGTAATAGCAGGAAAGAGCTTGGACAGTGTAGATATTGGGGAAGCATTAAATCAGAGTTTAAAGGGTAAATAGTATAGTTGAAGTCCAATGCTTTTGTTTCCCTTGGTTGCTACCCATGTTTTCCTCAGCTCATTTTTCCAAGAATTACCTCTACATAGCTTACTAAAGCTGCCCGCTGTAAACTAATGCCTTTTTTCCCAAACCAGCTCTTCCAAACATTGAGTTTGGCCCAGAGTACTTTGAAGGTTTGACAGTCAAGGCAGGAGACAGCATCAGGCTAAAGGTGACCATCACTGGACGCCCAGTTCCCAAAGTTGTCTGGTTCCGAGAAGGTGTGGAGATTACAAAAAAGATGATGGACATTATTACAGTTCCTGGATCCAGCACCCTCTTTGTCAGGGATGCTGATCGTTCACACTGTGGGCGCTACACTGTGGAAGCTACCAATGGGTCTGGAACCAAAAAGGAAAACATCCTTGTTCAAGTCCAAGGTTTGCATTTTTGAAAGTTTTCTCCCTATACTTCAGTATCAATATTTACCATTCTATTCATTTGTATTCTAACTTAACTTTCTCACAACTATTTGACGCAGATACACCTGGCGAGCCTGTTGGACCGATCACTTTCAGTAACATCTCAGAGGGCAAGTGCAGTCTGTCTTGGAACCCACCAGAGAAAGATGGTTGTTCTGAGATTTCACATTACATCATTGAGAAGCGTGAGACAGCCAAGATTTCGTGGGCATTGGTGTCTGATGAATGTAAGGAGTGCACCTTCCACGCAACCAAGCTCATTAAGACTAATGAGTATCAATTCAGGGTCTCTGCTGTTAACAAGTTTGGAGTTGGCAGACCTCTGGAATCCAGTCCCATCATTGCACAGATGCAATACAGTAAGTTGTCATTTTGGAAGGTTTTAAAAATCAACATATGGAAGTTTTCAAATCTATATTACATTTATTTAGTCATTTCCACTCACTATTAAAATTGTTTCCCCAGCCACTCCTGATGCTCCAGGCACTCCTGATGCAACTGAAGTTACAGGAGAGAGCATCACCTTGTCCTGGACTCCTCCAAAATCTGATGGAGGAAGCCCGATTCATTATTACATCCTGGAAAAACGTGAAAAGAAGACTGTCCGGTTCTACAAGGTGATCACCAAGAAGCCTATTACTGACTGTGCACATAGGGTTATCAACCTGACAGAGGATATGGAATACGAGTTCCGTGTTATGGCTGTAAATGATGCTGGTGTTGGAATTCCTAGCAACATCTCTTTACCCATCAAAGCCGCTGAGCCAAAAGATATACCTTGCGCTCCATCAGTGGTCTGTGTTTCGGACTCCACCAGTACCTCCATCAGTTTGGAATGGACCAAGCCTGCTGACGATGGAGGCATGGAGATTCTTGGCTACATAATTGAAATGGTGAAGGGAGAAGAGGTGGAATGGAAGAGAGTAAATGAGGAGCTTGTAACTGAAACAAATTATGTGGTGACAGGTCTGCAGACAGGGGCTGAGTACAAATTCCGTGTTGCAGCTGTCAATCATGTGGGTAGAGGTGAAGACAAGGAAATTCCAGAGCCTGCTCAGGCAGTAGATAGGCTAACAGTGCCACAGGTAGATATTGATGCTGCCTTTAAGCAGACACACATTGTCAAAGCGGGAGGTTCAGTGTGCTTGGGCATCCACTTCAGAGGAAAGCCTATTCCTACTGCCACTTGGGTGAAGGAGGAAGGAGAGCTCAGTGTCATGTCAGAGGTAACAACTACTGATGGTTACAGTTCTCTGAGCATTGAAAACTGCTCTAGAAATGATACTGGCAAATATACTGTAAACCTAGAAAATTCCAGTGGTAGCAAGGCTACTACATTTGTTGTAAAAGTCATGGACACTCCTGGACCTCCAGAGGCTGTTGCCTTCATGGAGGTGACCAGAGGCTCAGTCACACTTATGTGGAAATCTCCTCTTAATGATGGCGGAGCCAGAATCCATCACTATATTGTTGAGAGGCGTGAGGCTAGCCGCCGCACTTGGCAGCAGTCCGGTAGCAAATGCACACAGCACTACCTAAAGATACAGGACCTGCTGGAAGGAGTGCCATACTTCTTCAGAGTCTCAGCCGAGAACCAGCACGGTGTGGGTGAGGCATTTGAGCTGACTGAGCCTGTCATTGCTACTGCAGCACCATCAGCTCCAAAGAGACTGGATATCCTCGACACCACAGACAACTCTGTGTCACTAGGCTGGCTGAAACCAGAGCATGATGGCGGTAGTCGCATTCAGTGTTACGTCATTGAAGCTAGGCCAAAAGGTACAGACAAATGGGTAGTTGTTGGCAACACCAAAAATCTGACCTATGTTGTTGAAAAGCTCAACAAGGGTGATGAATATGACTTCTGTGTGAAGGCTAAGAATGAAGCTGGTTATAGCAAGCCCAAGGAAACTCTGGCTCCTGTGCTGGTCAAAGAGCCTCACATTGAACCTGCTGCTGACCTCAGTGAAATCACCAACCAGCTCATCACATGCAGGTCTGGAAGCACTTTCACCATCGATGTTCCAATCAGTGGCAGACCTGCTCCTAAGACCACCTGGAAGTTGGAGGAAATGAGACTGAAAAACACAGACAGAGTCTCAATCAAAGTTACTAAGGACAGATCCAGTATCTCAGTTAAGGAGGCCATGAGAGGAGATGGTGGGAAATACCATCTGACTCTGGAGAATGTGGCAGGAACCAGAACGTTTACTATTGAAGTTAATGTCACAGGCAGACCCAGTCCTCCAAGTGGACCAATAGAAATCTCATCAATTACTTCTGAGTCCTGTGTTGTTAACTGGCATCCACCAGAAGATGATGGTGGCACTGACATCACCAACTACATCGTAGAGAAGCGTGAATCTGGCTCAACAGCCTGGCAGCTCATCAACTCCAGCGTGAAGCGCACCTCTCTCCACGTCAGTAACCTGACCAAATACATGCAGTACACATTCAGGGTCTCTGCAGAAAACAGATTTGGTGTCAGCAAGTCCACTGAGTCTGAGACTATTGTCGCTGAGCATCCTTATAGTAAGTGTTACTCTATAATGTTACTTTTGAGCTTATGAATTTATAATATTCATTTCCATCCTATTCCATAAGATTCTTATGTTGAATTTGAATAAAACAGCAATATCTAATTTCTGATCACAGCACCTGCAGGTCCACCGACAAAGCCTATAATCTTTAATGTCACTGCTAATACAATGACACTGCAATGGGAGGAGCCCTACCATGATGGTGGAAGCAAGGTGACTGGTTACTGGATTGAGAAGAAGGAAAGGAACAATATCCTGTGGGTGAGGGAGAACAAGATCCCTTGCTTTGAGTGCTCTTACAAGGTGGAAGGTCTGGTGGAAGGCCTGGAATATCAGTTCAGGGTTTATGCCATGAACAGTGCTGGACTGAGCAAAGCTAGTGAGGCCTCAAAGGGAGCAGTTGCTCAAAACCCTGTTGGTGAGTTTAGTATCACACCATGAAGAGTTACTAAATTAATATGTTTTTAGACAAAAATGTCTGACAAACATTGTTGATTTGTTGTTTAGATCCACCGGGTAAGCCTGAAGTCACCAACGTAACAAGGACCACAGTATCCCTGAAGTGGTCGTCTCCACTGTATGACGGTGGCAGTCCAATTGTGGGCTACATCATTGAACGCAAGCCATACACGTTGACTGGCGAGGGCCGCTGGCTGAAGTGTAACTACACCAACGTGACTGACAGCTTCTATACTGTTACTGCGCTGGGAGAGGGAGAGCCCTACGAGTTCAGGGTTATTGCCAAGAATGCCAACCAGGTCTTCAGCAGACCCTCCGAGTCCACCGGCTCTGTGCAGTGCAAAACTGACTTTGGTAAGATTTGAGACCATGACACAGTTTCATCAACATGCCACAAAATAAATTCACAGTAAAATGAAACTTGTGTTTTCTGCTAAATCGGTGTAAGCAATCAAACCGAGTCCCCAAAAGTTGATTCTGTTCATCTGGACGTTTTCAGTGGGAGACACATTTTGTCACTCATCCAGGTGACTCCTTCAGTCTCAGCTGACTGCAGGTTTCCCCAATCTTATAAACAGTACATTTGACTCAGTGGTGCTAGTTTCAGCCATTATGCAAATGTACTGTTTATAAGACAAAACGTTTCTCCTACTGAAAACGTCCAGATGAACAGAATCAACTTTTGGGGATTTACTTACCTGGATGATTGAGCATGCATCAAGACAACCAAACCAAGACCAAAATATTTTCAAGACATGTCAATTCAGTTTAAACAAAGTTTCAAAACCCTGTACTTCATAACCACTTGACAGAGCCTCCAAAGGCCCAGCTTGACAGCAAGCTGCTCTCTGAAACTGTGATGGTCCGGGCTGGTTCAGACCTGGTTCTGGATGCTGCAGTGGGTGGAAGACCTGATCCTAAGGCTTCTTGGTCCAAGGGTAACAGAGAGCTGGACTTGTGTGAAAAGTACCACTTGCAGTATACCCCGACTAGAGCCATGGCCATCATCAAATTCTGTGACAGAGATGACACTGGAAAATACATCCTCACAGTCAGGAACGTAAGTGGAACCAAAACTGCAGAGGTCAATGTCAAAGTGCTTGGTGAGTGGCTTTTTATTTTTAACCATTTATTTTAATGCATTCACAAATTACACTGGACGTGTTAATTTTGAACATCCTAGCATCTAAGCTTTCGTACATCTGGCTTTCTTTCAGACACACCTGGAGTTTGTGAGGGCAGCATTGAGACCAGTAAGATAACAGAGGAATCCTGCACTCTGAGCTGGAAGCCTCCTCTTGAAGATGGTGGTGATGACGTCTCTCACTACATTGTGGAGAGGCGTGACACAAACAGACTTAACTGGGTAATAATGCATGCCGAATGCAAGGAACTGACCTGCAACATCACCGGGCTGATGAAAAACACAGAGTACCTGTTCAGGGTGCGGGGAGTCAACAAGTACGGGCCTGGAGTCTATCTCCAGTCAGAGCCCATGGTCGCCAGAAACACCTTTAGTAAGTATAACAGCCACATCCTTATGAAACAATACCTAGTTAGTTACTGACATCATCGTACAATCTGAGCGCTGCTTTTTTAAATGTTACACAAAAAACTACAAGAGAAACCCACAAGTACTGGTAGTACCAATACACATTCATTTCAAGTTTTCAATCAGACTGGTGATCGGTAACCAGATTTTCTTTGTTTGACAAAGACTATCTGTAATACATTTCCTAATTCCTTCACCCACATTAGGTCTGTTTCAGATTTCCAGGATTGAACAGTGTGGGTCAGAAAATGCCCTGGCATCAGAAAGTGTGAGATACAGATGCTGTTAAACATTTGGCAAACGAGGCGAGAAGTAATTTAATCTCATATAGTGGGAAAAATACAGTCTGTGAACACTGAATTACATTAGAGTTTGCTGACCATTCAAGGTGATAGTTTTGGTATTTTTCAAACTTTTATTCACACTTCACCTCCCAGTCTACCCAGAATACATCTGAAAATGCACCATTCAAGTTTTGCTGGATGGTGTGAAGTTAAAAACCCAGCTTCTTAAAGAAGGACAGTAAATGTCCCGAGAGTTTCAGGAGCTGTGTGATGTTTTTGCTGTGCAGTGGAGTCCTAAACAACTATGCCTATGTTGTAACAGGGTGCAGGCTTAAATGTCCACTGTAGTTGTTGGAAAGCACTGAGGAATGCTGAACTGATAACTGAAAAATGTTGAGATACTAGATAGTGCAATCATTTTTATGGTATTAATGCATCCCACCACTGAAAGAGGGAAGTCTGGTTCATTTTCCTCTCCCAGAAGTATTTCTTTTTTCTTACGCTAAACAAAAGTAAATGGAGATACAGAAGCTGTCAGGTTTGTGCCTCCATATAATCAAAAGGTTTTTGATGTATTTTGATTTGCAACAATAGTTACTCTAGATTCTTTGTAAATTAACTCTGCATCACCTGTCATCTCTCCTGCAGCTGTGCCATCTCCTCCTGGTGCTCCAGAGATCCTGGCATCAGGAAAGGACTTTGCCACCATTGAGTGGCTGAAACCAGAGAGCGATGGAGGTAGCCCATTGATCCATTACTTAGTCGAGAGACGTGAGAGAAAGAGTGCTCGCTGGGTGAAGGTGAACAGGGATGGTGCTCACTTAGACACCACGCTGAAAGTGTCCGGTTTGACTGAAGGCAACATCTACCAGTTCAGAGTGACGGCCATCAACAAGGCTGGAGAAAGTGAGCCCAGCGAGGTTTCTCTATATGTTGTCTGCAGAGTGCCAACATGTAAGTCGAGTTTGTTCAGTAACAAAAACTTCCACATTTTTATCCATTTATATTGAATTATCAGTGAATGCATCATGATATCTCTACTATATCTTTTTATGCTGTTCCTTCAGGTACCCCTGCTCCTCCTTCTATTCCTCGTATCAGTGACACACACGCTGACAGCATCAGCCTGGCCTGGTCCCGACCCGTAGAGGATGGAGGAGCTGATGTGATTGGCTATATTCTAGAGATGAAGGAAGTGGGAGCAGAAGAATGGAAGAAGGCCCATGAAAAGACCCTGCGTACCACAGAGTATGTAGTAACCGGACTTTCAGCAGGCAAGAAGTACTGCTTCAGAGTGGCCGGCATTAACATTAATGGTACAGGAGACTTCAGTGACCCATGTGCTGAGACCGAGCCAGTGGAGAGAATTGGTAAGTAAAACTTTAGAAAAGCATAAACTTAAATGCATTTGCATTTGATTTTGTTGTGCCATTTCTTCTTCCACTACAGTTTATTTGCAAGTCTTTCCAGATATGGTAACTTTGACATTACTTTATCACCAAGATTACAAACCTGTCATTGTCACCTCACACAGAAACTCCTGACTTCGAGCTCCATGATGACCTTAAGAAAACTATCTGCTTGCGGGCCAGTGGCTCCCTTCGCTTATTTGTTCGTGTCACTGGTCGTCCTGCTCCTACAATAACGTGGAGCAAGCCTGGTGTTGACCTCCACAACAGAGGCTTCATTGAGGTCACCAACACTTCCACCACTCTCATTATTGACAAAGTCAACCGCTACGATGCTGGCAGGTACACTCTGGTGGCGGAGAACTCTGCCGGGAAACAGGAAGTCAGCATTTTGGTCAAGGTTTATGGTAGGTTGAATGGATTTTTTTTTAATGTGTTACAGAAACTTTTATGAACTGGCCTTTTGACTAAAGTATGTGCTTTTCTTTAGATACTCCTGGACCAACTGGGCCAATCAAAATAAAGGAACTGACCAAGGAGTCTGCAACCATCTCTTGGGATGCTCCAACTGTGGATGGCGGTGCTCCTGTCAACAATTACATCATTGAGAGGCGTGAAGCGTCCATGAGAGCCTACAAAACAGTCACAGCCAAGTGCAGTAAAACATCTTACAAGATCGATGGCCTGATGGAGGGCATGCTGTATTATTTCCGTGTTCTCCCTGAGAACATCTATGGTATTGGAGAGCCCTGTGAGACACCAGATGTCATCCTGGTTTGCGAGGTGCCTCTGCCACCACAAAAATTGGAAGTGATCGATGTCACCAAGAGCACTGTCACCCTGGGCTGGGAGAAACCGGAACATGATGGTGGCAGCAGACTGATAGGTTATGTCATTGAAGCCTGCAAGTTTGGTACCGACAAATGGATGAAGGTGGCTACATTGAAGCTCACAGACTTTGAGCACACCATTGAGAAGCTGAATGAGAAGGAGCAGTACTTGTTCAGAATCAGAGCCATCAACAGCCGAGGAGCCAGTGAACCCAAAGAACTTGTTGCAGCTGTCACTGTACAGGAACAGAGAGGTAACAAACAAAGCCAACTTGTACTACTTGCAGTTAAAATGTTTTTACAGCTTAAGGCAAAGCAAAATTGACAAAAACTCACAAAGTTGTTGTTCAGTTCACACTTTTTCCTAACTATATTTTAATCTCTCCCTTCCAGTAATGCCAGTAGTGGACTTCTCTGGCATTCCTCAGAAGGTTGTCAATGTGCTGGCTGGCAAGACCCTGGATCTGGACCTGCCTATCATCGGCAGACCTCCTCCTGTTTGCTCCTGGTACTTTGGTGACAACAAGATAAAAATCACAGACCGTGTCAAGATCAAGAGTACTGGCAAGTTCACCAAACTGACGATGTCTGACACCACCATCGATGACACTGGTGACTACACCCTGGAGGTGAAGAATGCTGTTGGTGTCATCACTGAGTTCATCAAAGTCGTCATTCTCTGTAAGAAACCAACCCTGATTTAGTATTGCTTATATTTTTGCTACCAAGTCAAGTCTAGCTATTTCTGTATTGGCAGTGGTATAGGTAATGTTAACATTTAGCTTTACGTACATTCAGGTGAGTGTAACGTTTAATTTTATGAAACTTTATTTACTAGCTAAACCTGATGAGCCAAAGGGACCCATCAGGTTTGACGAGATTGATGCCACCACCGTCACTTGCAGTTGGGATCCTCCAATCAGAGATGGTGGAGCTCCCATCAGTGGCTATGTGGTGGAGCAGCGTGATGCCCACAGACCTGGTTGGGTGCCTGTCTCTGACTCTGTCAGCCGACCAATGTTTAAATTTGATAACCTGATCGAGGGAGATGAGTATGTCTTCCGTGCAGCTGCTGTGAATCATTACGGCACTGGAGAATTCCTGCAGTCTGAGATTGTCACCTGCAGAAGCATGAAGAGTAAGACCGCTATCATTCCTTTAAATATTATATTTGGTTGATACATATGATGGTAACAGTGGTAACATGTTTTCCCTTCCCTCGTCAGATGTTCCTGGACCACCTGGACGTCCAGTTGTTTTCGATGTTTCTCGTGATGGTATGACTGTGGCTTGGGAGCTGCCAGATGAGGATGGTGGCCTTGAAGTTTCTGGTTACATCATTGAACGGAAAGAAGTCAGGGCTGATAGATGGGTGCGTGCCAACAAGAACCCCGTAACCATGACTAGATACCGGTCTACTGAGCTGATCGAGGGTCTTGAGTACGAACACAGAATCACTGCCATCAATGCCAGAGGACTTAGCAAGCCAAGTCTGCCATCTAAACCAGCAGTGGCAACAGATCCCATTGGTAAGACAACATTTTGATATAAATCTAGAATTTTAGACATATGTGTGTGACATGACTCTTGACATTGAAAGTCACAAAAGAGCAACAGACTACATACTGATATTGTTCTGTTCCCCAACCAGATCCACCTGGCTGTCCTCAGAATCCAAGGATCACTGATACCACAAAGTCCTCTGTGTCACTGGCTTGGAGTCCTCCTGATGATGAGGGAGACGCTAGGGTAGATGGTTACCTGATTGAGATGCAGAAGGTGGGCACTATGGCCTGGATCAAATGCAACACCACACCATCTCTAATTTGTGAGTACACTCTGACCAACATGCCACAAGGAGAGCAGTTCAAATTCCGTGTGATGGCCTGCAATGCTGGTGGCTCTGGAGAGCCCGCTGAAGTGCCTGGAACAGTTACTGTGACTGAGATGCTTGGTAAGAACAGACTTTCTCCAAGATGATGTGTGTACAACTAAAACTAGTACAGAATGGACCTAACTTTTGGTATCAATATTTTCCAGAATCTCCTGAATATGACCTGGAGCTGAAATACAAAGATCTGTACGTGGTCCGCTACGGAGGAGTGCTTAGATTATCTGTACCCATTAAAGGTAAACCTCAGCCAACCTGCAAGTGGTCAAAGGATGGCGGTTTAGTGTCTGCCAGGGCTATGATTGCCTCCACTGAAGATGCCAGTGAGCTTGTAATCAAGGGAGCTGAGAGGAGTGACTCTGGTGTCTATGATCTCCTGCTGGAGAATAAGGTTGGCAAGAAGAAAGTCCAAATCAAGGTGAAGGTCATTGGCAGACCAAGTGCTCCAGAGGGACCAATAGTCTTTGAGGAGATTCAGGCCAACTCTGTCAGGCTGTCCTGGAAGGCACCTATTGATGACGGTGGCTCAGAAATCCTTGGTTATATTGTGGAAAGACGTGAGGCAACCAGAAATGCGTGGTATACTGTAGACTGTAGAGTGACTGAAACTCAGTTGCTTGTTAAGGGCCTGAAGGAGGGAACAGAGTATCACTTCAAGGTCACAGCTGAAAACTCATTTGGTATCAGTGCATCCCTGAAGTCTGAACAGCCAGTGGTACCCATGACTCCTCTCTGTAAGTATTCCTTGTTTTGTTTTTTGTTTTTTTCAAACCCTTCAGGCTTGTATTCAGAAACAATTAAAAAATTCCCCATCTTTCAAATCAGGTTCCCCTGAGCCTTCAACTACCCCACCAGAGATTATGGATGTCACCAAGAGCTCAGTGGCACTTGCATGGTCCAGACCAAAGGATGATGGAGGATCTGCTATCACTGGTTACTTTGTTGAGTACAAGGTGGTGTCTGCTGAAACATGGTCCCGTCATGAGGCCAAGATAACCTCCACCATGTTTACTCTACCTGGACTCACCCCAGATACGGACTACCAGTTCCGCATTGTTGCTGTCAATGACATAGGCGAGAGTGAGGCAGGTCCTGTGTCGGACCCAGTCACATGCAAAGATCCATTCGGTGAGTCTCATGTCCTTAAACGTTTTTGTTAGGTTTGGGGTTTGTTTCTGCCACATGCAAATTTTCAGAAACTAGAAGTGGGTAACTTTCATCTGGAATTTCACACATTTTGGCATTACATTTGTTTGTGAAACCTTTTGTATTTAGGTATTCCCAATAAGCACACATTTTAGAAACATGAGGGGGCCTTGAGCTAGCATTACTAGCATTAATCACTAACCCGTGATTGGTCTTTGGCAACCAATGTTAGAAGTGAAAGGCACTAGGTCGCTGAGGGATTTTAAACAGATGTGTTTAAATTACATTACATTACAATCTTATGTAAACTTATGTAATCAGTGTAATGAGTTGCAGTTGTACAATCGATTACTTGATCTTGTCAGTATATTGAAGTAGGTAGGTAGGCTCTCTCGCTGTGTTTTAAAAAGAGAAAAAAAACATTAAATAGGCTCACCCTTTTCTCTCCTTTCAGACAAGCCCAGTCAACCAGGTGAAATTGACACAGTGAACGTGAGTAACAACAACATAACAATCCGCTGGCAAGCTCCAGAGTGTGATGGTGGAAAGGAGGTCCTGGGCTATTGGTTGGAATACAGGAAGTCCACAGAGAGCACCTGGAAAAAGTGTAACAAGGAGAGACTTAAGGAAAAGGAGTTCACGGCACGTGGACTAGCTGAGGCCACAGAATATGAATTCAGGGTGTTTGCTGAGAATGAGACGGGAATGAGCAGGCCTCGTAGGACTGCCACATGTATCAAAACCAAGCTGACTTGTGAGTACCTAAGAATATATTTATTATTAAATTTATATTTATTTACAGGGATAATACCTAGAAACATTCCTATTTGGCAACTAGTGATATACCACTATATACAATGTATGCACACTGGTACAGACCATATCCATGGGTATGGTTATAAGTTATAATGTTATAATTCAATACAATACTATTACAAAACAAATAACCAGTATGAAAAAGACATATTTAGACAGACTTACCATATATAGAGTGTGCTGTTTATTTTTTTTTAAAATATGCTTCTTTGTTTTGTTTTTCCAGCTGAAACTAAACCAAGCCTGAGAAAAGAAATGGATGAAGTAACTGCCAAACTTGGCCAGCCTGCAGTTATGAAGTGCCAGATTATTGGAAGACCCGTTCCTGAAATAAAGTGGTATCATGCAGGCAAGGAAATTATCGAGTCTCGCAAGTACGAGATGAGCTCTGACGGCCGCAACCACTCCCTGTCAATTATGACTGACCAGCAGGAAGATGAAGGCGAATACACCTGCAAGGCCATCAATGACGCTGGAGAAGCAGAGACCACAGGCATGTTGGTTTTGGAGGCGGCGCCATCATTCCACCCTGACTACCCACTGAAGGAAATCCATTTTGCTGGCCTCGGAACTACTCTGCGTATCCATGCTGTTTACATTGGCCGTCCTGAGCCAAAGATCATGTGGCTGCATGGGGCAAAGACTCTGGAAAACACAGAAGATATAAGCATTGAGACCACTGAGCACTACACACATCTGGTCATCAAGAACGTGCAGCGCAGAGTCCATGGAGGCAAATACAGAATAAGACTGCACAACCACTTTGGCCGAGCTGACACCGCATTCAGTGTTGAAATCTACGGTATGTTCTATGTTAATTACCTCCAGAAATTCAATTCAGTTTTGTTCACACAGCACCAAATCACAACAACAGTCGCCTCAAGGTGCTTTATATTGTAGGGTAGACCCTACAATAATACATACATAGAAAAACCCAACAATTGTATGACCCCCTACAAGCAAGCACTTTGGCGACAGTGGGAAGGAAAGTGCAGCAATGCATACATTTGTAAGCGTGAAATTATCCAATTTGTAAATATATCATACCTCTATTCCTAGACAAACCTGATATACCTCAGGGTCCCATTGTTCTGGATGCCCTGCTGAAGAACTCAGTGATCATCAGCTGGAAGCCTCCCAAAGATGACGGTGGCTGCATGATTACGAACTATATTGTGGAGAAGCGTGAGGACAGGGAGGGCTCAGAGTGGGAACTGGTGTCGTCATCCATCAATGGCACATCCTGCCGTGTGCCCAACCTCATCGAGAGTGCTGGATACTTCTTCCGGGTCTATGCCCAGAATCGCTATGGCAACAGCGAGCCGCTGGAGCTCACTTGCCCGATCCTCATCAAGAGTCAGCTGGGTATGTTTAATAAAAGGCAATATTTCACAATGGGTCACATATACAGAGATGCGAAATACTGCCAGTGGTTTCATAAATATATATTCCTTTCACAGAGAGACCATCGCCACCTCTATCACCAGTTGTTTCTGGAATTACTAAGGATTCCTGCGTGGTTTCCTGGAAACCCCCTCTCAGTGATGGTGGATCCAAGATCAAGAGCTACTACCTGGAGAAGAAGAACAAAAAGGACAGGCGGGAATGGACTGAATGGACTCCAGTGACCACAGATGAAATCAAACAAACAGTCTTTTCTGTGAAGCGCCTGACCGAGGGTGTTGAGCACATCTTCCGTGTCAAATGCGAGAATCTTGGAGGGCAAAGTGACTATAGCGAGGAGACCACTCCCATCATTCCAGCCGCAGCTGTCGAGATCCGTGCTCCTGCCTTTAAGGAGGAGCTGAGGAACATGAGTGTCAAGTACAAGAGCAATGCTACCCTTGTCTGTAAGATTACAGGACAGCCCAAGCCTGTAATTAAATGGTTCAGACGAGGAAAAGAGGTCCATTCTGATGGAAAGAAGATCAAGATCCAGGAGTTTAAGGGAGGTTACCACCAGCTGGTCATCACAGAGGCTGACGAGGAAGACTCTACTGTTTACCAGATTAGGGCCACCAACCAGGGAGGCTCCATCTGTGCCACTGTCTCTCTGGATGTTGAAAGTAAGCTCCGAAATGCTGTCTTACACAAAAAAATAACTATGGAATGTAAAAAACAAAAAATAATGTAATTATAAGAGCTATTTAGATTCATATATATCATGAAATCTCAAACAACTTTCTCCTGATTTCTAGTTCCTGCCAAGATCAACCTGCCAAAGAATCTGAAGGACAAGGAAGCCATCCCTGCCCTGCGTGGAGAGGTGGTTAATATCAAGATTCCTTTCAGTGGAAAACCAGATCCTGTCATCACATGGCAAAAAGGACAAGATCTAATTGACAGCAATGGACACTACCAGGTCATTGTCACCAGATCATTCACTTCTTTGGTGTTTCCCAATGGAGTGGAGAAGAAGGACGCTGGTTTTTACATCGTCTGTGCCAAGAACAGATTTGGCATTGACCAGCAAACAGTTGAGCTGGATGTAGCTGATGTGCCTGATCCTCCACGTGGTGTCAAAGCCAGTGATGTTGCGAGAGACTCTGTGACACTGAACTGGGTGGCACCAGCAAATGATGGTGGCAGTAAGGTCATCAGCTATATCATTGAGAAGTGCCCCACCACAGCTGAGAGGTGGCAGCGTGTTGCCCAGTCCCGTGACACCCATTACACAGTTACCAATCTGTTTGGCGGAACGAGCTATCAGTTCAGAATTATTGCTGAAAACAAGTTTGGACAGAGTGCCCCATCTGAGTCAAGCGGACCTGTCATGACAAAAGAGGACAAATCCCGAGTTCTGCTCTATGACAGGGAGGTTGATGATACAGGATATGTCCCCAGGAGCAAGGCTCCACACTCTGATGCCAAGAATCTGCACAACAAATTTGCCATTGCAGAGGAATTGGGCAGAGGGCAGTTCGGCATTGTCCACCGCTGTGTTGAAATTAGCTCTGAAAAGACTTACATGGCTAAATTTGTCAAAGTGAGAGGTGCTGATCAGACATTAGTAAAGAAAGAAATTGCAACACTGAATTTGGCCAGACATGCTAATTACCTTCTCCTCCACGAGTCCTTCGACAGCCCGGAGGAGCTGGTGATGATCTATGATTTCATCTCAGGTGTTGACATATTTGAGCGCCTCAGTATAGCAGAGTTTGAACTTAATGAGCGTGAAATTGTTAACTACATCAGGCAAGTCTGCTCAGCTCTTGAGTTCCTTCACACTCAGAGTTATGGACACTTTGATATCAGACCTGAGAATATTATATACACTACTAGAACCAGCTCGAATGTGAAGATTATTGAGCTGGGACAGTCCAGACACCTGACTCCTGGAGACCAAATCAAGATTCAATATACCACAGCAGAGTATGCTGCCCCTGAGATCCACCAGTGTGACATGGTTAGCACAGTCACTGACATGTGGTCGGTTGGTGTTCTCGCCTATGTGCTTCTCAGTGGCCTTAATCCGTTCACAGCTGAAACCAACCAACAGACGATCGACAACATTTCCAGTGCAGCCTACAGCTATGATGATGAATCCTTCAAGCAAGTCAGTGTCGAAGCACTAGACTTCACAGACCGCTTAATGACAAAGGAGCGTAAGCATCGGATGACTGCAGCTGAGGCACTGGCACATCCTTGGCTCACCAAACCTGCAGAGGAGATCAGTGCCAGAGCAATCCCAACTGGCAGGCACAAGAGATACTGCCAGACAATGGTGAGGAAAGAGTGGAACACTGTTGTCTCTGGTGCCCGTGTGGCTAGCGGGGGTTCCATTAGGTCTCAGCGTGGCGTCTTTGTTGCGAAGGTGAAAATTGCACCATTTGAACATGGTCCTCTTGCAGGGCAGATTGGCCACGCAGTGGTGAATGAGGGTGACAACGTGAAGTTCATTTGCAACATTGACAACTATGATAGCACTACTGAAGTAACATGGTACTGTGGTGTCAAGCAACTTGAAGCTAGTGACAAGTATGAAATTGAATATGAAGATGGTCTGGCAGTAATCACCATCAATAAGGTCACAAGAGCAGATGATGGCACGTACAGATGCAAGGTTGTAAATGAGTATGGTGAGGACAGTGCCTACGCTGAGCTGTTTATCAGCAGTGTTAGGTCTTACCGCGATTTCTTCACTGCCCGTGTGGTTAAGAGAACAAAGCGCAGAGTAGATACTGCCAGAATGCTTCAGAAGCCACCAGAGTTTACACTTCCTCTGGTCAACCATACAGCTTATATGGGTGAGGATGTGCGCTTTGGTGTTACCATTACTGTGCACCCTGAACCTCGTGTCATCTGGCACAAATCTGGACAAAAGCTTATCCCTGGACATGATGAAAGGAAATACACTTTCATCAGTGACAAGGGCTTGTACCAGCTGATTATCCACAATGTGGAGACCGAAGATGATGCAGAGTACAGCGTTGTGGCCCGTAACAGGTATGGGGATGACAGCTGCAAGGCTCGTCTCACTGTTGTTCCTCGACCTAAACCAGCAGATCTCACCCTGAGGCCCATGTTTAAACGTGTGCTTGCAAATATCGATTGTAAGGAGGGCCAGGACATACGTTTTGAGATCAGAGTATCTGGTCGTCCATCACTGAAATGGGAGAAGGATGGCACGCCTTTAGCCTTTGGACCATCCATCGAGGTTGTCCATGAGGGCCTGGATTACTACATTCTTCATGTGAAGGACACTCTTCCTGAGGATTCTGGTGTGTACAGAGTTACTGCTACCAACTCTGCTGGATCCGCCAGTTGCCAGGCCACACTGAAAGTGGAGCGCACCGCTCATGTAAAGAAGGAATATGAGCCCAGTGAAAAGGAGAAGCAAAAGATTGCCAGAAAGGAAGAATTAGACAAAAAAGTTAGGCTCTCTCAGATTTTGGCTGGCACTGTTGTCACCCCCCTACCACCTGCAGCAGTAGAAGCTGTCAGGGAAGCCGCCACCATGTTTAAACCTGCTGTTACAACTAAGAAGGGTGAGAAGACTGAAGCTGAGATACAGAAAGAGCAAGAGGAGAGGAAGAAGAGAGCAGATGAGAAGAGACTGCGTATGCCCTATGTTGTCCCCACACCTCGTATCGTTAACCCAGCTGTTCTTGAAGAAGATGTAGAAATAAAACACTTCAAACCTCTTTCTGACATGAAATGGTATAAGAAATTGCGGGATCAGTATGAATTCCCTGAGCCAATGGAGAAAATCCCACAGAAAAGGATGAAGCGTATCCGTCTGTCTCGGTGGGAGCAGTTCTACGAGGTACCAATCAGGATTAAGGACCAATATAAGCCAAAGTGGCGCATTTCATCTATGACTCAGGATGACTTGGAGACTGTGAGGCCAGCAAGGCATCGCACTCCTTCTCCTGAGATGGAGACCTACCACAGAATCAGGAGGAGGTCTCTAGGTGACCTGTCAGATGAGGAGCTGCTGCTTCCTGTGAATGAGTATCTGTCCATGAAGAGAACTGAGGAGGAGAGGCTTCGTCTGGAGGAAGAACTGGAGCTTGGCTACTCCGCTTCTCCACCTAGCCTTAGTCCAGTTCGCTTTGAGTTGTCTGCCCTGCGTCCCTCATCTCCTAGAAGGACCTACGGTGAAGATGAAGAGGAAGAAGAAGTTCACAGATATGATTCCTACAGAATTCCATCCAAATATGAGGCTGGCCCAAGTTTTGTTGATCTCCGCCAGCGCCATGACAAAACAACTTATAAACCTCCAAGACAAAAGCAGAGGGTGTATGAAGAACGAGAGGACCAGGAGCTGCTGCGGCCACACACGACTGCTCAGAGAATCACCTCTTACAAGAGTGAACTCAAACGAATGGAGTTTGAGGAGAAGACACGAATCTCACAAAAGGAAAGCACTGTTGCTGTTTCAAGAATCTCTGAAGTCACAGAATCTGAGCACCTGACAGCTTTTACCTCAGAATATATCCCTAAACCAATCAAAAAGCTCCCAGAGCCCGTGAGGAAAAGATCCCCTACCCCAGAAAAGGCTGTCAAGACAGATGTGACACTCCCTAAGGTTGACTTCATGTCCAGGTATGAGGAGAGAAAGCAGGCTCTGAGATCAGAGAGAAGATCTGTAGAGAGAAAGGTTGAGGTGGTGACACAAGCACCCTTCAGCCTTGACCATCCCCCACGGATTACTGTCAGGATGCGATCTCATCGTGTACCTTATTGGTCCAACACAAGATTTACCCTGAATATCCAGGCCAAACCTGAACCTGAGGTCAAGTGGTTCCACAATGGAAAACAAATCCATGGGAGCAGCAAATATACCATGACCAACATCAGTGGAGTCCTGACTCTCCAGATCATCAACTGTATGACTGAAGATTCTGGCACCTACCGTGTGGTTTGCAAGAATGCCAAAGGAGAGACTTCTGACTATGCCACACTAGATGTAGCAGATGAATACGCTGCCTTCTCTTCACTTCGCAAAGATGAGGAGCCTCCATCTGCCCATCTGCCAGAGATGACCAAAACAGAGGTATATCACGTCTCATCCTCTAAAACATCAGTAACGGAAGCTGTAACTGAGACTGTGAAGGAGACCACTACTGTTGTTGAGAAGCCAAAGGAGAAGCCCAGTGTCCCTGCCAAAATTCTGACTAAGCCACAGTCCCTCACTTTAGAGGAGGGACACACTGCCAGATTTGAATGTGATGTGGATGGCGAACCAGCACCTTCTATAAGCTGGCTGCGTGAAGGAGCAGTTGTTGCTCCCTCTGCCCGACACCACATTGTGTCTACTCAGTACAACTCCTCCTTTGAGATCTCCTCTGTTGAGATGTCAGATGAAGGCAGCTACACTCTCTTAGTCGAAAACGCTGGAGGCAAACAAGAAGCCCATTTCACCCTGACCATCCGGAAGTCTGAGTCAAAGGAGAAAGTGGTTGCCCCTCCCAGAATAACTTCTCCAGAAGCTAAATCCCCTCTTGCAAAGTCCCCTGAACCGGTCAAATCTCCCCAGAGGGTGAAATCCCCTGAGCCAGTCAAGTCACCACAGAGAGTGAAGTCTCCAGTCTCACCAAAATCCCCAACACCAAAATCTCCAACACCCAAATCTCCAACCCCAAAATCTCCTACTCCCAAATCCCCAGTCACATCTCAGAAGGAACAAGCGATTTCTCCAATCAAGCCAAAGAGAGTGATGTCACCGCCTCTTGGAAAGAAGCCGTCCTTCTCTGTTGGGCTGAGTGACATCACAGCGTACTGTGATTCTGCTGTGAAGCTGTCAGTAAAGTTGACAGGAGAGCCCACACCTACAATCTCGTGGATGAAGGATGGAAAGGTAACCTAATCAAACACTTGAACTATTCCAGAATTTGTTTTTAATAATATTTGAGGGAAATGCATCATATTTACCTTATTTAGAAATCCAGTCATATTTTCTGTATGGGCAGGTTTTGTCTCAAGGTGGAAAGTATGAGTTATTTGAGGATTCTGGCTCAGCTCATCTCGAGATCTATGAATTGGAGGCCTCTGATAGTGGGGTGTACAAGTGCACTGCTACAAACAGCGCTGGAGCAGTTTCAACTATGTGTACTGTCAGTGTACAAGGTAAGTCTACACCTGATTTGTACACCTACAAATGTTAAACCAGAGGTGTCAAAATTACGTCTGCATTTCAGTGAAATTGGCGACTGCAAAATTTTTAAAAATTAGGAGCTGGGTAAAGTGATACCCATTTTTATTCTCAGCCATCCATTTTCCATTGTGTTGGACAAAAGGTCCAGGCCTTAAACCTCATGCGTGTTCTCCCATTTAACTCCAAAGAGTCGTGCTGACAGATTTCTTTCTTTATCACAGCAGCTTTTTCGTTATCATGTGGAGATGGCTGTAAAATGAGTTTGACATGCCTAGTTTAAACTCTTTCCTGACATAATGTCTTTCTTATGTCTTTTCTAGGCTCAAAGAGCTCCAAAACAAAAGCTGAAATCTCTGAGGAAGTTGTAAAAAGAGAAATGATCCATGAAGAAATCTCGTCTTCTGTAAAGGAGGTGAAGACCTCCCACAGCCAGATGTCGATCACAGAGGGCCAGTCTCTAACACTGAGGGCGAGCGTCCCTGGTGCCTCTGACGTCAGATGGATCCTAAATGGGGTTGAACTGACCAACTCGGAGCAGTACAGATATGGAGTATCTGGAAGTGACCACACCCTAACCATCAGGACGGTGACTGAGCATGAGCAGGGGATCCTCACGTGTGAGGCGCAAACACAGCGAGGACTGGTCCGGTGTCAGTTTAACACCACGGTCACCACCAAGCGATCAGACGCGCCTCATTTTCTGGTGCAGCCCAGGTCCCAGAATGTTAATGAAGGACAAAATGTGAAATTCATGTGTGAAATTGCAGGAGAGCCTTCTCCTGAAGCGGAGTGGTTGAAAGACAACATGATTGTGAGTGTTTTCTTCAGAAGATTTATGGAAATCAGCCAGTTGAATTAGTCTTTAAGCCAATTCTAAATTACTTAACTGTTTGCAGATATCTGTCACATCAAACTTGAAACTGAGCCGCTCTAAGAATGTGTATACTCTGGAGATACGTGAAGCCACAGTTGCAGACAGTGGGAAATACACAGTAAAGGCCAAAAATCAGTTTGGACAGTGCTCTGCAACTGCGTCCCTCAACGTCCTCAGTAAGTTACCGCCGCTGCGTTTCAGCCACCGTGTCACAGTGTGTTTAATTAGCTTGTATGCTAATGAGTCTTGGACTGCACCAAAGCCACTATTTAGTGGAAATCCAAGGCACTTGAGCATCCTCAGCTTACACTCAGTGTACGCAAATGGTTTGCAGTAACTGTGCACATTGTGATATGAGCCATGTGCTTGTCATCTGCATCCTTACAGCTCTTGTTGAAGAACCGACAAAAATTATAATCGCAGAACAAAGAGCTTCTACTGACACTGCAGCGAGCATGCAGAAAAGATTCATGGCCTCCTCAGTTCACATGGAAGCAGCTTCCATGCAGGCCAGCAGTGTCAGCAGCAGCTCCCGCTCTGCTGCTGCCGGGTTTTCATTTGAGAGCATGTCTGCGACTAGCATGTCAGCCACGATGGCCGAGTCGGTGGTTTCCATGAGCTCCAGGAGCACGATGATGGAAATGTCTGCTCATACGCATGCCGAGTCCTCGTCCTCACTGAAGGCCCTCACCACGGGGATTAAAAGAGGTGAGACGACTTTCAAAATGTGCATGTAAACTCAGACAGCAGGACCCGAATGAGTTTCTGTGTGACAGCAACTGTAATGGTGAAAGCATTGTGGCATTTCTCCTTTCCTCCTCTCACTGTTATCATCAGCTTATGATTCAAATATCTGCACTGACATGTTTGCAACAACATACGAGGGAAGACAAACACATGGTTGTCACCAGCAGCCTGCTGTTCTCACACAGCCTTTGACCGTAACAGTCTTCATCCAGCGTTCTCTTCTCTAACAGGCACTCCACCAAAGGTCGAAGCTCTTCCAGAGGATGTGTGTGCAGAGCCAGGGAAGTCTCTAACCGTAGTGGGGATGTTCTCCGGAGACCCCACACCCTCTGTCCAGTGGGTCCGCTCAGGTCGGACGCTCCCCAATGGGGATGAGCGATACCACGTGGAGAATACCACTGACCTCTCCACCCTCGTGATCTCTGCAGTGAAGGAGGCTGATGCCGGAGCGTACACCCTCAGACTGTCCAACGAGCTCGGCTCCGACTCTGCAACCGTCAACATTCGCATTCGGTCCATGTAAAAAGGAAGACAAAGTCAATTCACGCCCCCCGTTTCCCTCATCCAGAACCTCTTTATTTAGTGACGCAGCACCAATAATCCTACTTGATAAAGATCTGGATTTCTGTTCTTGTAAATATGAACTATTTTTGACATTGATTTATGCCAAACTAGACTAAAGTCTAAAGTTGTTATAAAATGTGCCATATTGGACAGTTATGACTTAGGATTTTTGACAGACGTTTCTGTGACATGTACATAATGTATATAGCCGAATTTAACGGTTATGGGAAATGTATGCATTGTTATTTATGACAATATAATATTAACTGAAACAAAAGAACAAATGTTTGAACAGGAGAAAGTTTCCGCTGGAACGAATACCCTGTGAAACCAAGAAACTAAAATCTGTGCCTCAACGGTAAGTTGAAGTCTTTAAGATTGCCTCGGCAGGTAGAGAGGTTCCCTGCTGACGTTATAAATCAGAAACAGAAGGACAACGTTTTTTATTGTATTTTATTGTTTTTTGGACGCGCTCCTGAGCGTGGGATATTACAGTTTCATATGAATTGTACCATGAGCGTAAGACCCCGAGTGCTGTTTTCATTACCCTCGTGTAAGCAGCGCAAAACGGCCTTGCGCTCTGACCGACTGTGTCGTACCACCACAATTTGATGACCGGCTCCGAGTGTGAGCGGCCTGCACTCGGAGCGTTAAGATCATTTTAATGAAGAGCGCTGCTTCTGGCGCAGGACGGCCGGCCTGGCTTTGGAAAACAGAACATCTCCTGGCCAAATAAGTGAAGAGAAAGTCAGAGCCGGCTCTTCTGTGCAGAAGCAGCGCCGTCTCTCGGAGGACAGTTAGCAACATGCTTTGTGTGTGTGAGTGTTTGTAGCTTTTAGTCGTTTCACCGTGTCAGTAGTCAGGGTCTCCTTCGTTCGCCACAGGGACTTCATGTCCCGTGAAGAGAAAGCAGTTAAGTCTCGCCCTGCACTTTGAGTTCATTGATCTGTTGATGTAGAATTGTTTCCTCCTCCTTGAGATTTGTGCATTACTGATTTAATAAAGCATGATTTCAGCACTACACACACGCTCGTCTGGATTTATTGTGTGGAGATGATGGAGCATTTTCACAGTGATCTGAGGATTTCCTCCCGATTTTCCCATTCAGATAATTATTACATTCAGGTGGATTGAAACATGATAATTCAGTGAAGTTAATGGGACTGTGCTCTATTTAATGACTTTTATATAGTTTGTTACTCAGTGGCCCGTTGCTTGTTGTTTGTCACATACAGAAAACAAACCTTCATGTCAGTGTTGTTTTGTAATATTTAACAGTCAGAATAAAGTAACTCCTGGATATCAGGGCGAGTTACGAGCGGTTTACACGACCAGGACCAGACTGATGAGTCTCCGTGGGAAATATGAATGTGAATGTGGGATTAGACTAAGTCCAATTAAACAAATAACCTAATGATCTCGCCCAGGACCCCATGCCCCGGAGCCAGGCTCTGGAGGGACTGCTCAGATACACCTGCAGGAGGAGCCATACAGGTCTGATGTTCCAGTGTAGAGACGTGGACCATCACCTCTCATTTAATGGGCTAACAGTCCACTGTTAGCTTCAGCTGCACACAGCCTCTACAGGTCTTCCTCAGTGGGCCCATCTTCATCATCTGCCACAGTTCCATCCATTTCATTTGTCACTCTTTTTCTGAAGGGCCAATCCCACCTGTAAGGGGAGTTTTCTCAAAGATGTGATTGGGCCAGCTTGGTGTGAGTCTAGAGGGTCTCAAACTCGCGGCCTGTATCACCCCTACTTGTGGCCCGTACATTGACATGAAAAAATATAACGCAGTTTGATGTTTGACTTTTTTTTGTTAGGGGGGATTTGTTTGTTGTTGAGTGCAATGTTAAAATAAGTTATTTTAAAAAAACAAAACTGATTGAATATGAAGGCAACATGAGCAGAGAGCACAAACATGCTGAGGGATTGGGTGTGTTAGCTCAGTGAGAGTCACAACTAATGTGTACACTTATGTCTGCGCTTTTATTTTGTTAAATACGAACACAATGATAACAGAAGTGCTGCCAGGTGTTCATTTGGTGACTCAATGAAAGGCTTCAGTTTGTTAAGAGGGGGGTAAAAAAGTGTGTGTTTTTATACAATATTTGAAATTTAAAAAACCAAACATTTTAGGAAATCTTTGTGGGTGTTTACTTGTTTTGTTTTGTTTGTACTACTTGAACACTAAAGTGGCCGTCCAATGAGACGACAGTGCCATACGGCGCCAACTTAAGAAAACACCAGCAGTAGGAAAAACGCTGCAAAAGCACACAAAACACAACGGAAATAGGAAAAAACACAAGTGTTTCTGGGGAGACAATAACCCGACGGACCAGTTACAGGAACCAAAATATAGTAAGAATTGAAAGAAGTGGGGGATCTATCAGTTTTGTGAGGAAAGAAAAGATGAGAGGTAATAGTGTTAGCCTGACTATTAGCCTAAAGATCCGTCATCAGTATGATATGGATCATGATAAAACACGCCTACCGTGTTTTGGGTTCCTGCAACGGGTCCGTCGGGTTATTGTCTCCCCAGAAACAATTGTGTTTTTTCCTATTTCCGTTGTGTTTTGTACGGAGCCCCCCAGGGGACATGGGAGAAAAAAAAATTAGGGAGAAAAAAAAATTAAGACGGACTTTTGCGAGATCTCGCAAAACAAACTCGGGATCTCGCAAAAGTTGAATTCCAACAATGGCGGCAGCTACTTAGTTGTAATATTACTCTTTCTGGGTCACAAAATAAACTTTTAAGATATTTTGAGGCGTGAATGTAGTTGTGTAAACGTCAGATACCTGCTCGGTTTACAAGACATCACATATTTGCAAAAGTGCTCCGACGTTTTCGGAGATCTGACACCCACCATCTCGAAGCTAACGGGAGGTCGAGACCTACTACAGCCGGGAGGAACACCGCTTTCCCGGCACATCGTGCCTCGACCTCCGGTCGGCTTCGAGCTGGCGGCCTCCGAAGAATGCGGCTAAAACTTTTGCGAGATCTCGCAATACTTTTGCGAGCGCTCGCAATACTTTTGCGAGATCTCGCAAAAGTCAGTCTTATTTTTTTTTTTCCTCCCTAATTTTTTTTTTTTCCTCCCTAATTTTTTTTCTCCCATGTCCCCTGGGGGGCTCCGTAGTTTTGTGTACTTTTGCAGTGTTTTTCTTATTCCTGATGTGTTTTTTTAAGTTGCAGTCTGTTTGGCCTCTCAGGGCCACCGTAGTGGCCCACAGCTTGAGAGCCCTGCTTTAGAGGAACACCTGAGCACAGGTTCAGGTGTGGACCTTTGATTAAAAGGTAAAAAGAAGCATTTAATAAGCTATCTGTTTGATTTAAATATATATCTGCTGTTTAGATCTACTCATGATTTCTTGTATTAAATATCGTCATGTTTGTGATTTAATGTTTGTCTCCCTCCTGTTGGACAGCTAACATGCTAACAGTGCTATGCTAATGCGAGCTGTCTTCTTGTAGTTGTTTGCTGACAGTCTCCATTCCCTCCGTGGTGGGTATGCAAGTGAAGAGGGAGACTACATCGAAGGACACCATGGTTTCATCTGGATCCAGGGTAAGTTTCTGGACGTTGTCGGTGGAGTTCTCGATGTGGTGTGGGATGTTCCCCACAAGAGGTGCAGGATGGTAGCAAGGTGTTTCGAGATGTTGTAAGTGGCTGAGTTTATGCTCCTGACAATGGGTCTGAGTGGGACCCCTTCCTTGTGGATCTTAGGAAGTCCATAAATGCAGGGTATGGCATCCCCTGGATAAAGTGATATGATATGTGAGGCGGTCAATGATTTTTGTCTCTTTCAAGGTCCTGAAGGCAAGCTATAACTTTCTTTTTGTAGTTGTTTGTGGGGTCTCGTTTTAAGGCTTCATAGGTTTTGTTGTCACTGAGGAGAGTTGTGATCTTTGTGTGGTATGTTGAGGCGAACTGAAGAGGAGGAGCGGGACCGATGCTGCTAGGGTGAGCCAGACGTCTCTCGCGGAGTCCTTTAGTGCTGCGGGCAGGCAAGGTGTTCAAATAGGCACAACTTCAGTTTTTTTATTACTATATGATGAACTCTGCATTATTAAGCGATAAGAACAAGTAATCTGATGTCCTGTAATCATTATGATGCTATAATTTGAGATGCAATAAAAGATACAATAAAAAAAAATAAGTTTTTGTACAAAGTCTCAGATCAGTATCGCCGATACCACCAATATTACTTGGTATCAGATCAGAAAGGGAATCAGTGGTATCGCACATCACTAGTCTGCAGACTGACAAGCTCCGCCCACTGATACGAGCTGGCTCCCTCCGCCCACAACAAAAACATGCTTCGCTTTCCTTCTGGTGCCAACAGCCGGTCTTCTGCAATACTGACATTACACCACTGCGTTGCGCTATTGTCACGTAACTCCCGCCAAACTCCAGTAGAAAATGCCATATTTAAGATTCCCCTCCCACGCTCAAAATCTAAACACGGTGTTGAGAGCAGCTTAAAAATAGTAACAATTAAAAAGGCTTTTATTGGTTTCCAGTAAAGAATACAATCCAAATCAAGTAATGTGTGTTCTGTTCACCCTAAACATGCGATGAAACTATAAAACATGACACATAAAAGCTGTTTATACAGTCAAGTTTGTGTGGAAGTTTCTTTCTATTCTTTTATGTTTACTTTATTTTACTCCAAACTCTGTTTGAAGATCTTTTAAAATCCGTACCTTATAACTGAGGACACACTCTCCACTTCAGTCTGTATAAAATGTCCAGCTCCACCAAATAAAAGCCATCAGTATTTTCTTATTTTTCTCAGGTTTACATAACGCTCAGATATTAAATGTTATAAATATCAAATGATAACTCTTCTGGTCTGCAGGTGTCACTCCATAAAACCCGCTTAGAGAAATGCAGACGCACAGAAACAAATGTTTGTAAGTCACAATCATGCAGTTTCTCACACTTCAGTCACCTGCTAATGAACACCTGCTCACAGGACGTACACATAATAAATGAAACTTGTGCAAACATGGATCCTCTGCTCTTTATTTCATGATGAAGTGAAGCGTGCGATACTTTATGTCTACATGGAGATACAACATGTGGGGATGGAAGCATGAAGCAGCAGCTTTAATCTGCAGCTTTGTACAGCATGCTGTGTGGGAGGTGCTGTGAGCATGTATACAGTATACACTGTGGTAGTTGGTCCCATATGAACGTACACAGAGTATTTACAGTACTGGAAGCTATCATACACACAGATGGTTATCAGGTTAAATCATCCACTCCTCCACCACGGGAGCACAGAACGTTCAAACTAACCAATGACAGAACTTCAGTCATGTGATCCTTCATGCAGCAGGCTAAATGTGCTGAATATGTTCATCTAAATGTGTTTGTACAGGTGGAGAGCTTAATCTCGGAGCATTATGAGGACTACATGAGCTACAGTAAAAGACTTTAAAGGGAACCTCAGCGGCGGCACAGCGCCACATTCTCAGCATCAGCACTAGCCACGAGCTAAACGCCACGAGAACGGAGAACGTCCAGCAGTCCACAGCTTCAGTTGTTTCTGCAGGTGCTTCAGTAAGAAGACCAGATCTAAATGTAAGGTTTACATCTCATACTAACTCTCACAGGCAGTATAACAGATGGACGCAACTGAAAACTGCTGCCAAAGCAGAAATGCCTTAAACCTGCACTCATTTTAAAGGCCACCAGGGGGCAACAGCTGTGGGTGCAACAAGACTTCCTGTCCTGTAGACGTCTGTCACCTCGGTAAATACTTCCCTAACGAGTTTGAGCTCCATCAATTGTTTCATGTCAAACTGAATAAAAATTTATGTTCATGTTATAATTTATTCATTTTTTTAAACTTTTGCTCAGAAATTGTTAGCCAATGAGTGAGCAGTATCAGTCCCGCCCCTTTTCTTAGGGCGGGACTGATACAGCGTGGGACATTGGTTTCAAAATGTCACACGCTGATCTAGAGGCTTCAGACCTCATCACTTCCGTCTGTTATACTGTCTGTGGTAA